CTAATGATTAAAAGGACATATATGGAAATCAGAAAATCACAAAGCCATCAAATTAACTTGGAATCACAATATTTAATTATTAAACAAACTGAGCAAAATTCATGTTGACTTATCCTCAGCATGTTTTGCTAAGACACCCTTATTTCTGATTGTGAAGTAAATTCTGAAGTTTAGTATTATGTAATGGAGTAATAAAGTAAATAATGACTGCATTTAGACTTAACAGTGAACCTTGGCTTGCATTATGAGAAGTCATAAATGTCAAACAAGTTTACTTATTTATTTATCACTTGACTTTACATGCTGCTCCAATCAAACTGATTCTGAATAGCTTATAGATCCTCCAATACAGCCAATTACAATAAAGTAATGTAGATCAAATCTAAATAATTTTCCTCCAATGTGATATACCTTTCTCAAGGGATCAGGCCATCTACCATTTCTTCTCCAAAGACCCTCTGGATCTTTTATGATCGTGGACTTCAACTCCGAGAATTCCTGAGCCAGCTATGCTGAGGGGAAAGGGAGAGGTTTCCAAGCTGAGCCATGCTGGCTCAGGAATTCTGGGAGTTGAAGTCCATGAGTCATAAAAGAGCCAAGGTTGCCTACCCCTGCTCTGGATCATAACAGCCTCACAGAACACTGGTAAGGATGGAACCAGCCTCATCTCTGGGGAAAGGGTGCTGCAGAGGAGAGGGGACCATTACTGAGGAGGCTCACTCCTGAGGTCCCTAATTCATCCTGTCATTCCACCCTGGTTGAAAGGATATAAGAAGCTTTTGATATCAGTTCTCATATATGCAATTGCTATTAAGCTGTTTAAAGCCAGGTCACGAAGCAGCATAAAAGTATTAATAATAAATAAACAGCTAGATGAATACATGATTTTTATGTAAACTCAGCAAAATTATAGTTTACCCAATATAAAATCCAAACCAAATTATAACTATGATTTGAGATCTTATTTTTATGGCTCAGTGTTAGCTTGCAAACACAAATTTGCCAGCTCTATTTATTTATAAATTATTTTAATGCTTATATATTTATATAATCATAGACTATAATACAGAAAAGTGGAACAAAAATAAACTAAAATAAGCATAGAAATGTAAAATATTTATAAAATGCAAAATCATAATATTTAAACACGTCTCTAATTTTAAAATGTCTGGAATGTGAAAGCTGTGGGTCAGTATTATATTTCCCAACTACTACATTACACAAATCTAGCTACTTTTACACATATCTCAGCTCTAGGTTAAAAAATAAAAAGAAAGTGAGCAATGTTTAGTGTCATCCAAATAAGATGAAAGAGGTGGAACAATTAACAAACACTGAGCATCTTATTATACTGTACATACAGCCTATGAGCATGAGCACATGATCTACTGATTCTATTGGTCTGCTACAGTGTTGCCCTATTTTCCATATAGCACTAGAATAAGTTAATGACTTGCTAATATGCTGTTCTATGTACAAGAGTCATTAAATTATCACTATGGTAAGCTGGTTTAAGCAAGTCATTTATTTTGTCCATATTGTAATACTTTAGGATCAAAGACACATTTATTTGATATTCTACATCTTTACTCTCTCTTTTATTATTATTTTAGCATGATCAAATCCTAAAACTAAGGGTGATTTTGGTGAAAACGTATATGGGCAGTGTTAACTTTTAAATGAAAGTCCCAGGATAAATTAAGATCAACAAATACGAAGGCTGAATCAATTTAATTTAAACCAAAGTCTTAGTATGGTAACTAAATCTTCACTGCTACTTTAAACAGTCTAATCTCAAATTTTAAAATGATAGTGGATCAAATCTAAGAAAAAGAGTAGAATATAAACTAAATTAAGATTCACAGAATAACTGTGCACAGCCTTTAGCTTAAAAGAAGGCTGCAGAAATATACTGGGCTCCTATACTTTAAAAGAAACCAAGAATTGTGGCAATAGTGTACTGGATATTTTGGGCTACGTTTGGTGTGTCCTGTTTGGGCTGCAGAATAATGAAACATAGTTTGATACAATATAGAAAAGTATGGTTAACCATAAACCAGGTACAGAAACCTCTAACTTCATTTCATGCATTAGTAGTGTATACTTCTCAGAGTTACTGATGCTTCTGTATTATGCTATATGTAGCACACTGAGTTTTGCCATCTAAATACCACAGTAAATTTGAGAGTGCCAGAAGGCTTTGATAAAATTGTTGTTTTTAGCATCCTCCCACTCTATTCCTATCAATGGTTTCTTGGGCTAAGACCATATTATATACACATGTAGTACATTTCTTGATCAGCTTCCCCTCCATCGGCCAATAGATTTAGTCATGCTGTGGGCAAAAAAAAGCAGACCCATGTCTGGCAACTAGTCCTTTTATGGTTCAATAAATAGTTAAAAAGAGTGGGAAAAGAGCAATGTTCAAGTGAAGTACCTGAACAATAGAATCTACTTTCTTAAAAGAACTACAGCAGTCACATTTGATTTTTCATATCTGAATAGGATATAAACAGTGAGGTGGCTGAGTCTGTAAATATGTGCCAGATACCCTGCTTGTTCAAAAATGCAAAGCAGATAATTTTATGAATGATCTTTCCAAACTGGATGAATAGATAACACCGTGACATTTCAAGTAACACATGTATAAAATTATACTAGGGATAGAAGAAAATAATTCATTTATATGTATACGCTGATGAGATTCTCAAATGCAACCAGGAAAACAATAACTGGGCCATTTACTTTGCAGTGCATTTGGAATCATAATAAATGATGATGCCCTTGAGTTGAGTTCAATTCATGGTGACTTGAATATCTACTAATATATTGGCAAAAATGTGGAAGCTGTTTGTCACTGCCACCTTCTGAGAAGTTTAGTCCATATCCCTGGGATTTTGGAGTAATCTTTCAAAACATATTAACCATGCCTAGCAGATTAAATTGTTTTCAGATAACTGAGGTAGATTAGATGCTGCCATCTGCCTTCATATAAAACCCAATGGCATGGTCACATTTCAAATTTTAGTATTTCAAATTTCTAGTATTCCCATCTCAAATTAAATAAATACATAAATATAATAATACAGTGGAAAAACATTAAAATGGCCACCAAAATAGCAAAAGGATATTTTTTACTATACAAAGGATAAAGAATTAAAAGCATTTTAGTTCACAAAATAGATGAAATGAGAAAAGGGTCACAACAATAGAGGTGTTAAACCATTCCCTAAAAATGGCTGCATGTATAAACCTCTAAATTTAAAATGATGGTTTAAAGCAGCGGTTCCCAACCTTTTCTATACCCTGCACCCCTAGAATGCTTCTGATATATTCTCGCACCCTTACAAAAGTTTGAAATAACGGCAACAAATTATGCATAACCCAAGTTTTCGCATGCCCTGGAATATTGTCTCGCACGCCCAGAGGGTGCAAGCACCCCTGGTTGGGAACCCCTGGTTTAAAGGGATTGTTGCAAACTGTATCTTCTGCATAGATATACTGAATTCTTTAGTTCTTCTTTTGCCATATTCACCCGACTCAGAAGTGAGGTTGATGACTGACTGTCCTCCTTAGGCATAACACCCTATAATATATGAAATTTACTGCTTTTAAAGATTTTCTAATTCTTATGCAAAATAATGTCTGTTCCATTTTAACATAATATGCTATTCTGAGATTCTTGGGGATGAAGTCTTCCTTATTAAATTTCTACAACTGGGAACAATGTAGGCAAAGAACATTTATGAAATAACTAAATTTGAGCCTGAACACAGTGGACTTTCTTCCACTGAGATTTTTCTTCCTTATTTAAAGTGCTACAAATTTATTTCTCACTTTGGAAAATTATCTAAAATCTTTCATTCTTTTTCTCCAATAAAGATATAATTGTTAATTTTCAATATGTTACTTGAAAATGGGCCTAGAGAAGATTATTACAGAAAAATTCTAAGGATCTTCAACAGAAATAAGTGCCAGTATTTTCCACGGGGTTCCTCATTTCTAAGATCTCAACATCCTTATTTTGGTGAAAGACTTGTATGCAACATAATGATACCTATGGATCTCATTTCAATGTACAAAATTTTAATTATTTCCTTTGTAAGGAAAATAAGAAAAAAGATGATTAACTATTTGACTATCATTTCAGGATTCTGCAAAACATGGCACGAAACTATCTGCATGAATAATTCCATGATAGCAGGTTTCTTCTAAACCTCCTTCAATTCATAAAACAAAATAAACAGATGACAACACTGGCTCAATTTGTTTGGATCTCTTGGCAAAACAATACCTCTTTTATGTCTGTCTGTTACTCCAGGCAACTTGATCACATTGCGAAAAATAACAGTGCTTTCTATTGGGCAGGAGCCAATAAAGAGAAGCAAACAACAACATCCATTGCTGATCAAAATTGATAAACAGATGCTAAAAGATGTCTGATCCACTTACATTCTAAGCCAGGCAATCACAGATTTCTTTCAGATTAATAATACCAGATACTAATAGTAAGTGACAATTTTCCTTTGAAAGAGAAGTGGCACTGATTTTTGTTGAAATGCACAACTGCTTTGATTGCTAAACTGGATAATGCAGAAATGATGGGTAGCAACGCCTCTAGAAATGTACAAATATATACTGCTCGTATTATCTTTGTATGTCACTAATGTGCATATTACTGTTGTATACAGTAAGAGTGAAAAATGAAATTGTAGAAAGTTATCAGCCATGAATATCCACATTTTATATCCACATTTGTCCTATACCAAACTTTCCAAATAAGGTTCCCACCTTGAAATTAATTAAATGTCTGGAGAGCATCAAATTGGGAAAAACTTTACTAATATTTGTATTTCAGGAAATCCAATTGCTATTTATAAAATATATTTTCTACTGTAGTTTGACACCCTCATATACTTTTTTGGACAAAGGAAATGAAATCACGCCAAATGATTCTTTTAAAATAGGAACAAAATAATCAAGATATAGGAAGTACTCACTGTTTCATCAGTGCAGATGGAATGTACCTGCGTTCCAAACATTACAGATGTGAAAATGAGAAAAAGGAGAGCCTCAAAACACAAGAGGATCAGGAGGATCACAGTAGTTGGTGGAGAGAAAGAGCTGCACTCTGAAAAATGTAATATGAAAGAGCATTTCATATTCAAGCAACTGAACCAGTAAGAATGCTGCTTTTGTACACTATTTGCTTATATTGAATAGCTTTTAAATTTATTCAGTCATAAATAAATGAGATTTAATTATTCAGAATTATTTATAAACCACCAATTCCAACATCTGGAAATTCAGTTATAGAGTTCTGAAAGTCAGTGGTCATACAATACAGACTTCTAAATGTAGCAGGAATAAATACAGGTAGTTCTCAACATACAACAGTTCACTCAGTGACCGTTGAAAGTTAAAATGGCACTGAAAAAAGTGACTTAACAATGGTTTATGACAAGACCATTGCACATCTCCATGGTCACGTGATCAACATTTGGAAGCTTGGCAACTGGTTCATAGTTCTGATAGCTGCATTGTCCCGTGGTCAGGTGAACACCACTTGTGATCTTCTGATAAGTAAAGTCAATAGGGAAACCCTATTCAATTAGCAACCTTATTACTAACTTAAAAATTTTAGTGATTCACAGCTGTGGGAAGAAAGGTCTTAAAATAGGGCAAAATTCACTTAGCTATTTTGCTTAGCAACAGAAATTTTGGGCTCAATTGTAGTCATAAATCGAGGACACCTTGTAATTATAAGTTATGTTGTAATTGCAAGGCAGTCTCCCTTTCCATCTTCCTAATCTAAGTCCAATCTGGTCTTGATATTTTATACATTTTTTCTTATAAAATCATTATTAGATGTTCCCCTTTCCAATATAGTTTAATGTCATCAGAAACCCAAAGCTCTTAAATCACAGCTTATTTCACACTCACATGAAATTAAGTTTCAGAATGAAATACCAAAGGTGCTGGAAGTAAAATAAGGCAGTTGGAAACAAGGAATAGAAATAGAAACGAAATAAAAATCTTTTTTTCCCTAGATTTTTCTGTCTGTTGTGATTTGCATTCATAATGATTATGCAAACAAGAGATTCTAGGGTACTTTCTACATAGTATTGTTTCTTACGATTTTAATTATGAAACATGAATTCACCTTTGGCCCACAACCCAAACTTTTTCAAACTTTGATATGCAGAATTTTCATGTCCTGATTTAAAGGTGAATATTGTCTTTATCAATGTTTTTATTTATTAATTCTTACTTCACTGATCATTTTCAGTTATCACACAATACACAAGCATATCCTATTTCACAACAGTTATATAACTCTTCAAGGCCCATTGTTTAGATAAAGGGTGGACAGAATCACAGGCTGTCAGTAAAACCCCAGGTCTCCATAATGCTTTTGAGGATGTGCTGGGCTACACCTTCCCCTTCACCCCTAACCAGAAAAAACATGGTTTCTCTACAGGTTTTATTCCAATATTGCACTTCATTTCTATTCTCACACAATTTCTGCCCCACTCCACAGCCTTCTTATTTCAGAACAGGGGTCAATGGTGTTTCTTGTAGGCATACAAAGTAAAGATACAATAGGGGCATTTAAAAGCATTATGCACCTACTTTTTCTATGGAAAGTTCAAGGAGAATTATTAATTTCTTGAGTTCTCACCATATTCATGGTATAGTACTTATGATCAGCCTAAGTCAAATAATCTTATAGCTAATTTTCTTTAAAGGAGATATGTGCTTTTTTCCTCATGGGGGGGAAGAGAAAGCTAAAAATAAAGACAATGTTATAAAATTAAGGACAAACATAGTCTTGGGAAACATGCAATCACCCATTCAAATCTCTTTTGTGAGGGTTATACAATTAGAATTATTTACTTTAAAAATATTACATTGTCAATACTCACTTGTCCAGTCTTCTTCCAAACAATATAGGAAGTGAAATCCAACCATAATTAGAGCATGCAGAGAAATTAGTGCTATATACATCTGAAACAGAATTTGGAATGTTAAGAAAGACAGATTTGAAAATTGAATAAGAATGTGTAAAGATTATATATACAAAATATAGCACAGATTATTTTTTTTATCATGCACATGAAGAACAATGGTTTTTTGCCCTAAAATCTTGAAACAACATGGTCCCTATATTTACTGGAAATCAACTGACAGCAAACTCGTATCTTTTGAACTATTTATGTTTGAAGCACAGTATGTACAGGAACAATCTTCCATTCACTTTATAACTGTTATTTTTTTTCTTTCTAAAGGGAAATTAGCACAAACTCTGGAAGGCTTATAAACTATTTAAGGGCCTGGTAAGAAGTATGCCCAATACCCAGACTCGAGTTAGTCAGATTTTACATTTGGGAAGCAAAATAAAACTTTGTTCTCCATTTCATGCCCACAGTCTCTCAATGTTCTCTCTCTCCCTCTTCCTCTCTATCTCTCTCCCTCTCTCCCCTTTCCTCCCTCCCTCTCTCTGTCAAAAAGAAAACTCTCATTTTAAGTAGCATATTCATGTTTTAATTTATATCATATTATTTAATTTATATCATATTATTTACTTTCATTCACAGGGAATTAGGCTACTTTGGTGATGGAATATGATACAATATTAAGCTTATGATTTAAAGTGCAGTAATACACTTTGAGAAACCATACATTGCTAGCCGACTATATTTTTTAAGTTGCTTCAAGCATCCTACAGCTTAAAAGGGTAGCTACTTTTCTCACAAGTATCTCCTTTTAATTATTTTTGGAAGAAGTCTCAAAAAAATTGAGCAAGATCTACTTGAAGTTTCAGGACCAATTTCAATAGTTACATAGACCATTCACTCAGTGAATTACTTACTGTAAACAGTACAAAGTATTTCTGGTTGTTCTCTCCTACACAATTATTAACCCATGGGCAGTGGTGATCCATTTTCCGTATACATCTCTTACAAACACTAAAAGGAAATAAAAACACCACAAATTAAAATACAATCCATCTACATTGAGAAACTGGTCTATAGATATCAAACTGTGGAATAAATATTTTTATTTGTCAAAAACTACATTGCCTTCTACGTTACTTTTTTTTTGAGAACATAGTTTTAGATTCACAATGTCATTCAAAGTGGAAGTAAATGTTAGATTTGAAGCATTATGAATAAGTGGCAAATGCTGCTGCGAATCTCTAATTGATTTAGAGCAGTGTTTCTCAACCTTGACAATTTTAAGGCATGTGGACTTCAACTCCCAGAATTCCACAGCCAGCACTGCTGGCTGTGGAATTCTGGGAGTTGAAGTCCACATGCCTTAAAATTGTCAAGGTTGAGAAACACTGATTTAGAGGCTCCAGTTTTTATTTCAGTTTTAATTATTTCAGTTTTTTTAGTTCAGTCTTTAGTTATTAAATGTAACTTAAATGCTAGGAACGGGGGGGGGGGGTGTACGAGAATTTTCAGCATTTTTGAAGTGCAATTCACAATAAACTCCATCCAATTAATCGATTGACTTTTTTTCACCGACTATATGCATTCAGCTTGGTATCTTGTGTACTGGTGCTATGGAGTGCATTTTAACTCTATTTTGGCTTCTGTATGAGCTTGCGTATCACTCAGAATCTAAAACTCTACGCTACCTTTCCTTTCATACTTTAAATACCTATCAGAGCAAGGGGGGAAGTGTTACATTAACTTCTGCATGTTTTTATCACTTGGGTGTTGATTCCTCACCATACAGACCTTTTTTTATAACTTTTGAGAACAGATGCTTTATGATTTGACACAAGGGACAATCCGCTAATATGGTATACAGCTGTCATCTAAGATCAGATACAGGTGGGAAACGATTTATAATTGTACAAAACCTGGCCAGTCACCATTATACAATTCTGGCTTCTGGTCAGAAAAAATGTTTTTTGAAGACAACATTGCGTATGTGACAAGTGAAACAAGTATAATAAACTCACTACTAAAATAATCCATAGATCATTTTAAAGCCTTCATGCATAACCCATGCTGTCTTCCAGCGGAAACAGATAAATATATGGATAAAAGCAAGAGGATATACGTAGTCTGAGATTGTAGAGGACACATTTCCACCAATGCATCATGTGATCCCACCTGATGGGACTGGTTTGTACATCATAGAACAATGGAAAAAGATCTCTTGAGGTGTTCATATGTGTTTGTGATTCTCCGTCTGATACACACACACACACACACATACACACATGGGCAGTGATTTTCCGGATGTGTGGATCTGCCAGTGGAAAACAATTCTAAACTACCACATAGCTCAAATGTGAATAAATTAATATATTACATATTAATGTAACCTGCTTTTTTAAGCAGAAAATTTTGAAGATGTTACAAAATTCAGTTCTAAATTATATTGAGTTTTGCTTAAAATAAATCAGAATGTAACAACGTGCTAAAATCATACTAACAGATGATGAATGAAAGAGTCACATGCTAGATTACTGTTGATGCCTATTAAATTACAATAGTAACATAAATAGACTATGATGATGATGTATTATAATTACCTGCAGTGATGTGCTCTGTCCGGTTTGATACTACAGCATTTTGGACACTTATAAACTACTTGTCCTGGTTTCAACTGTAAGCTCTCTATGAATTCTTTTGTGGCATTACCTTTGGGCACTGCACCCTAAAAGTGAAAATAAAGAGTGCCAGAACACTGGATCACAATCAGAAAACTCAGGGGCCCTTATTTTAGACACTGATGAATTTAGGAACGCTTAATGATAATGCATATAGTACAAAGGTATAGCCCTTTGAATCTAAAGCTAAAATGTGCAAATGACATCATAGTTTAGGAACATGTGGCTTAGTGATAGTAATTCTGGTCCCACTTGCTATACTAATATGAGGACTACCTATACATGCAAGCCATTCCATGCCTAGAGTGCTAGCCAGAAATATGTGTTTAGTATAGATACACAAATATGAATCAGATCTGTTTTGTTCCAAATGTAGACCACAATACAGTTATTTTGGGTTAAAGAATTTGGGAGAGAAAAGCAAAAAAAAAATTGATTGAAGCTTTCCCTGACAACAATAGAAGAGGCTGAGGGAATAAAGGGAAGGCCCTCAGAGATTACAGGAGAGGTGGATATTCTGCAAGAACAGCAGTGAGAAACAGATGCACAGCTATGGTGGTCCCAGGTATCTCTGAGAAGTGGGTGGGAGTGATATGTATCAGCTTTGTCTTAAGGAAACAATAGTATCACTTTGCCATTCTTGCTTGCATAAAATTCAGAACAAAATTGTTCCTGGGAACTATAGCCAATCTAGAACAGTTCAGAAGAACTTTTCAGCTTGGGTTCAAAAGGCACTTTGTGGTCACATCTAAAACCAATCAACCAAATTTCATGAAATTAAAAGACAATCTGATGTATTTTTTAAAAATGCAAAAGTTGTATGTATTTACGGAATACAATACCACCTGAAGCATGCTATGCTGTATGAGGAAAGGGAGAGGTTTCAATACCATTCACATATGGCAGATAAGACAAGCAAACAGAAGTTGATATGATAAGATTATAATCTAAATATAAACTTTATGAAAAGCTTTTTGCTATAGAAGCCCATATGCAACATAATCAACTATATTAAGTAAAGCACGATGTTTTCTACCTTGTTAATATGGAAATATTATAAGGAGTTTATAATGCATAATTTTTAAAAAAATGTCATTTATGATTGTTTAACTTTCAGTAAACATTGGTAGTCCAGAAACCATCCTTATACTAACATAAGAGGTTCAGATGAATAATATACAGTCCTCATGAGGTAAAGCAAACTCCTATAAATATTTGAAATATTTAGTTTGAAGCAGAAAACAACTTTCATATTCAATTAAAGGAAAATCACCAGAAAACAGATAACTGCTACAAGGGACAAATATTTGTATGCTTTCAAGCATTTTTTTTCTGCAAATATTTTTAGAGAATTCAGGTGAAAAACAAAGAACGTGCATATTGGAGTTAGAGGCCCAGTTTCTATTATAAGTCAGCACTACGCAAGTGAACTCACTGCAGCTGATTTCAGTTTTTGATTCACACAATGAACTCATGTTCAACTGATGTTTCCAATAAATTTTAGTGGTCTCCTTAGCATAGGGGAATTATAGCAAACATATCTGGAGAACAATAGGTACCTACCTTGTTTTTAGGACCTGTGGAAAATCTAATCATGCCAAATATGATTTTTTTAATAGTACAAATCTCATTAAAAGCTATTTGAGACCTATGAAGCTGTGGGGTCCTTGGTTCTCTCTGAGCTTGATGTAAGCACTGATGATGTTACTTAGTTTGGTAATGAAATCTGCAAGAAAACCACCAAGTTCAGAGAGTATCAAGAACCCAACAGTTCAACCTGAGCTACAAATATTCTCTTCTATCTGTAGTTATGAAGCTTTTCAGGTAGCACCCCAACAACCAATTGAGATACTTCATTCTTTTCCATAAGGAGCTGCTTTGTGCAGGTGCAAGAATGAATTAACTCACTGTAACAAATTTCATTTAGCTTCATTTGCCTAAATATGGCAACACATCTTCCAGCTTCATGTCACTTTAATTTGGTTGTAACTAACCTCAATGTACTTTTTGTGAAAGTTTAAACACACACATATAATTATAAAAGATTGCACTATCTAAGAAAAACTGAGGTTTTTATTAGAAAATAGGGTGGTTTAACACCATTGGTGAAAAGAAAAATCTCATGCATTAGTATGTCTTTTTGTGTTCAACTAATGTCAGATATACAGCATTTTGTAGTAGAAAAGACAAAGTTTCTATCCACATATAGGCATATAAATACAGGTAGTCCTTATTCATTGACTGTTCAAAGTTATGACAGCAGTTAATGAATGGATATGGCTATGATCACATGATTATAATTTGGGCACTTGAAAATTGGTGTGCAATTTTGATAGTCAAAGCATTCTGCATTGTGTGATAACCATTTATGACCTTCACTTCAAAGAAGCAAAGTCATTGGGGAAACCAGCAGGAGGCCTCAAATGGCAAGCATGCCATCATAGGACACTTCTACCATGTGGAATTTGCCTAAAATTGCTGCAACTATCACTGTAAGTCACATGCAATCAACTTTATGACTGCACATAACAACTAACAACTAAAAGTGCTGCAACTGTCACTATAAGTCACATGACATCAATTTTATGACTGCACTGCTTAGCAACAGAATTGCTGGTCTCAATTCCCATCATTAATGGGAACTGAAATACCTGAAGCATCTTTTGACAACCCCTTAAACTAACATATCTTTTCCTGTGGCTACAAAACAGCTGCAGAGGTCAGCATACAAATCCTGTGAAAAGACACAAGTGCTTTAAAAAACTGCCAACATGTGATAAGGAGCACTCCCAAGCACCACCTCTTTGAATCTTCAGTTATACAGCTAAGTGCCTAGAAGTATTTAAAAAAGGAAAATATTCTCAGTGGATTCATTCATTTTCAATTTCATCTCTATTAGAGACTAGGATGTTCAAACCATTAAACAGCATTATTCAAAGGATAATACAATTTGCTGTAAACATGAAATTCAAAACTGATTTAAAAACTCAGCTTTCTGTTTTTAATAAGGATCATATCCACCCTGTAAGGAACTCAATGTCTGTTACTTTTTAAATTCAGTTAATATTTTAAAATACATTTGGATAAAATTTGGCCATTGTTTGATATGTGCATCTTGTTCCTATCATCCCCAGCCAATACAAGTTTCTCTGCTGGCAGAGACTAATGGAAATTGTGTTTGGAGGTAATTATAGATATATAACTATTATTCTATATTCAAATGAAAAAGTATTGTTTTATTCAAAATACCATATAGTTGTTTAAAAAGACAAACATATAAACAGGTTTTTCCAGCTTTTCATGCCACAGCATGCTCTCAATATTAAATGTATTGGAGCAGATAAGAAAAAAGACTCCTACACAGATCTTCATCTATGTATTTTCCTCTTTTTTCCCAAAAGGAAAAAAAATTGCAATCCTGTACTGTTTGAGGATCTTAGCATTTCTTATTAATATTCCACTGTACATATTTAAAGTAATGATTAAAGGCAAAATATTAAAGATTCATTTTTAAGAAATGATACTATTTAATCAAGAGTTTATATTCTCTATGCATTCTAGAATTTTTTGGTACAAAGCAAACAAGAGAAAAAGCAACTGGGTCACATATTCCTAACTTTATGAAGCTGGAAAGGTCATTTAAATCAGGGCTTTTCAACCTTTTCGCCTATTGTACCAATTTTAGGATATGGCAATATCCCAGTACCATCAGTCACTTAGCAAGATGTCAAAAACTTGACCCCCTCCCCAAAAAAGGGAAAAAATGATAAGGTACAGGTAGTCCTCGACTTACAACAGTTTGCTTAGTGACTGTTTGAAGTTACAATGGCACTGAAAGAAGTGCCCCCCAAGCCACATCCGAGCAAGACACCTGCCTACCTGCCCGGCCTCGCTCTTCCTTCTGTCTGAGGTTTTCATTGTTGTGAGCATTTCTGTTGAGGATTGGCAGCGGGGGTGAGGTGGGGTGGATGTTTGGTTTTTATTCCCCCCCATCTGCTGGGTGGTTGCAGCAGGTTTTGGTCACTTCACATGACCCTAGCACACTGTGACCATCATAAATATGAATCAGTTGGCAAGCATCTGAATGACCCTGGAGATGCTGGAACATTCCAGCTGATCAGCACTTCTTCAGGGCTCAGCAGAAGCACAAGGATCAGCGCTAAGCTCCAGCTGGAGCCTGGCATTGATCCTGGCGCTTTCGCTGAGTCCTGACAGCCTTGTAGCTCCAGCCATCTCTCGCTCAGGCTTGTGTGGTGCTGCCACTGGTTCAGCTCATTCCCCTCCCCCGCTACTTTTCTAGGATGGTCGTGTACCACCTGCCAGGTGCCAATGTACCACAGGTGGTACCTGTACCACTGGTTGACAAGCCCTGATTTAAATTACTGAATCTAAATCCCAAATACCTGGAGGAATCCAAATTAAGGCATTCCTGACCGATGGCTATTCAGCCCTTCTTAAATATATTCACAGGAAAAAAGTTACTTCATTAAGCGCTGCTTTTATATTAATTTTTTTAAACATTGCATTTAAATTTCTCTTCTTATAACAAAAGCATAATTTCGCTACTTGCAGCATGGAATGAAGACAACTACACTCATCTTCTGTTTAGATTTTAGAATTTTAAACTGTATTGCCATATCCCTTCTTAAGGTTTCTCTTCTAAGCATTCTTACATTCCTTAATGCACACAACTGCAGCTTTTGTGAACATCCTTGCTACTCTTTTTTGAGCCTTTACATTAGTTTGAAACCTTCTTAAAGTAACACACTTACTGGATCCGTTATCATTGCTCTCAAATGTGAAGCCACAGCCAGGAATGCCAAAGTATTGAAAATTATTCCATTGATCACACTATAAATATAGTCTCTTGATGGAAGTAGCATTACGAGGATGACTACAAAGTCAGCATAAAATACCAGGAGCCAGGTGATAACTGCACAGGCAATACCACAACCATCTCGAATAAACCACATTGTTTCTGAGGAACTGTGGCTGGGAGGTGGGACACACTGGTCCGGTTGAAGATATTCTGGTTTCCTCTCAATATCTCTGAAACGATGAACTGGAGTAATCATCATAGATTATAATGTCCATTCTTGGATCTGGAAAAGACAAAAAAATTCTAAACTGAATAAAGCATCTAAAATATTGTCCAGATGGCAGTTTCTCTTAACTTGGTTCTTCATTTCAGTGATAAATCAGGAGAAGAAAACTATGTGTCCATCAACATGTACAGTAATTGCAATTATGAACACCACAGCACATCCAAATTTCAGGTTCCTGATCTATTGCTTGGATTCATAAATGCATTCTTTTTTATAAAGTTTGTGAATATTAGAAAAGCTTAATTAGAATATCCAAAGTATCTACTGTCTCTAAACACTTCATACTCTATCTTCGATTATTTAAATCCATAAAAGTACTCACCCGCTCAGGCTTTTTTAATAACCTACAAAATTCCATTCGTCTTCCAACAGCTAACTCATTTTATATGTTTCAATAACCATGCATTTCCCTTTCTGTAGTACCCAACTTCCTTGCATGGAATTCTATATAATTACATCTTGCCACTATATTAGTATTCAAATATTTCATTTTTCCTTTAAGAAACCTAAATCTGCAGCATATACAGTCGTCCCTCCTATTTTATCATATGTGTGAGTTTCAAAGGATCTTATAAATCATCTGGTATAATAAAGAATACGGGAAGGGAACCTATCAGGTAGTGTGACTACAGCCAATAGGTATAGATTAAGTCTTCTGTAGGTTGTTTCCTGACTTGGTTTATATTGAAGTGCCAAAAACTATTATATCCCTCTCTTATATTCTCTTGAAATATATCTAACCTTTAAAAATTCATCAAAAAGCATGCTTCCTGATCTCTTATTATCCTTTTATCTATTCTCCTGAATCTGGTGCAATGTCTTCAGGTCCCTTTTAATGTGTGATGTCTAGAATGGAAATAAAAATGGTATTTAAATATCATTTAATTAGTACAAACTTCAATGAAATTATTACTTCCCATAATCTAGACATAATACTTCTGTTAACCTACACTGGCCTACTTGACCATGTCGCTTGTTCATATGCAGCTAATGGTCTACTTGTACTCTTCACTTTCTCTGCAGAGGCGGTGTTTGCTGTCTGTTCCTCTCTTCTCATTTCTAGTTTTGTATGCATTTGTACTTAAGATTTGGTCATGTGCAGCCATAATTAGCCCCTCTATTTCTTTCTTCAAATTTCTCATTCTTAACCATTGCCAGGGCCTGAGGATTGGGATGACTGTTTATTCTTGATACATATTTTGAATTTATGATAAAAATTGAATTTATTTATTTCTATACTGAAAGCGTAAAAGAGCATTCCAAATTATCAAAAGCTTTTTCTGTTTCCACAACCATCATTGGCACCCTCAAAATGTTTCTGATATTTTTCTATATCCTGTCCAATACTATTATTTAAACTTTCTGCCAGGATGGCCATAAAATATAATTAATATTCATTAAGATATAAACCTTTATGACCCTGGCAGGATGAATTATTTTCTTCTTTATAAATCAGAGATATAAACACCTCTTGCCATGATGTAGGTAATAGATGGGGCGTTGTCTTACCTGAATGCCTTTTCTCAGCACGGAGATGGATAATCAACCAATAGGTTTAGACTGTGTTCCTACCCAATCAGATTAAGTCAGCCAAAGTTGCCACGCCCGTCCTGGACCATAGAGATCCCAGTCTTGACACGAGCGTAGCCATTGACTGACCGCAAGACTGGCTCATCAATCTAGCCCTAGGCCTAAGTAACCTGCAAGGGCAGGAGTGGATTATCCATCTCCATGCTAAGAAAAGGCATTCAGGTAAGACAACGCCCCTTCTCCAGCACTGGAGATGGATAATCCACCAATGGGACATACCAAAGCCTACTGTCCCTGAGGGAGGGGAGCAGGCCATTCCGGCATGGCACTTTGAGGTACGACCTGTTGGAGAACCCTCCTACCAAAGAAGCCCTCCGCCGAGGCAAACCTATCAATCTTATAGTGCCGTATAAAAGGAGATGGTGAAGACCATGTGGCTGCCCTGCAGACGTCTTCAATGGATGCCTGAGTGGTCCAGGCCGCGGACGTAGCAGCATTTCGAGTAGAGTGGGCCATAATCTGTCATGGAATCGGCAATGAAGCGGCTTGATACACCCCTGCAATACACGCCCTAATCCACCTGCCAATCGTGGAGGAGACCTTCCGACCCCTGGAGGAAGAGCGGAAGGAGACAAAGAGGACCTCTGAGATGCAGAATGCCGCTGTCTGTGAGATATAGTACCGGAGCGCCCTGCGGACATCCAATAGATGCCATTGCTGTTCCCGATCATGCGATGGGTTGGGACAGAAATCCGGGAACACGATTTCCTGGGCCCTGTGGAAAAGGGAGTTGACCTTTGGAAGAAAGGTAGGATTGAGGCAGAGGACTACTCGATCCTGGTGGAAAATGCACAGGTCATCCCGGGTAGAAAGCGCTGCCAATTCGGAAAATAATAATAATAACGGACCACACCTGTAGTCCATTGTATTTGACATACCTAAGGTGGAGAACTCAAGACCAGGTCACAAACAGAGTCATAAGAGGCTTGGAGACTCCATTACTCCTTGAGATATTAGGCCTCAAGGTAAAATGGGCCTGTCTAGCTCCCAAAAAGGAAGCCGTCTCCTGCCACCGGTGGGACCTTGAATTCATTATCCCTGGACCACCTGTCTCAAATCACCCCCAATGTACGTCCCTGTTCCGTAACAGGGAAGAATAGTCAGTAAGGAGGAGGAAGGAGCCCCTTCCTTCGGTATTCCCCTTGTGGAATTGGAATGAGCCGGTAAGGATCGAGACCACACAGCCCAAAATGGCGACCGCGTGGGGGGGGAGGCGCCTAGACCTGTCACGGTCCAGGAGGCTTCTGAAGAAAATGCCAGCACAGAACAAATGACACCTTGTCCGAGGAGAAGGTCCGCGCCTGGAAGCTTGCAATTTAAAGAAAAAGCGGAGCCTTCCACCCCTTGGATCTGCCGTCTAACAGCGGATTGGCACTGGGGTTTTTTGGCACGCACGCGCCTCTGGCCATAAAGGCACAATCACAAGGCCCCAGAAGCTGAAGGGGAAAGGGAGGCGACCGGCAGAATTAGGCACCGGTGGAATTAGGCACCGGAGCTGCAGCCACAGCTCCAAGAAGTCAGAGACGTGAGGATTTCCAAGGGGAATCCTGGGCCCGTCGCAACCAGCCTCCTCCGCCGGCGCTGGTATTCAACCACCGGAGCTGCAGCCGCAAGCTCCGGTAGGAATGGGGCCAAATTAATGTCAGCTGGGGACTAACGGCCGTTAGTCCACAGGCTGAATCCAGCAAGCTAAGGCTGGGGAGGGAAAGGGAAGGGGTTTGAGGAAGGAGCCCCTTCCCTAGCAAAGAGCCAGGTTTTTTTTATATCCCCCCCGAATTAGGAATCAAAAGGAAAGGAGGAATAGGAATTTGCTAGGAGGCCAAATTCTGTTCAGCAATTTGGAAATGGAAAATCTACCAATAGAGACTGTACCTGCCTAAGAGCCAACTTGCACGACTGTCCTGGGACAGATCAAGTCAAGAACGGGATCTCTCTGGTCCAGGATGGGTGTGGCAACTTTGGCTGACTTGATCTGATTGGGCAGGAACACAGTCTAAATCCATTGGTGGATTATCCATCTCCAGTGCTGGAAAAATTGTTGTATTTCATTAATTACCTGAAATATTTATTAAGATATTTTTGAAAGTCTTAGACCAGAGTTCCCCAACCTTTCTGATTTTGCAGACTGGCTGGGGGAAGGGGCTGGTTCCATACAAGCAATGGGCAAATACGCGTGTAGCTCCATTTGCACAAGCAGCCAGCACCTACCACTCATGCAAACAGAGTGCACGCGCATGCACTTACCTGCTGCTTGTGCAAATGGGGATGCACTTATGCTCACCCGCCACTTCCATGGCCCGGTTCCAAATGGGTCAAAGCTCAGTTGTGGGCTGTAACCCGAGGGTTGGGGATCTCTGTCTTACACAATGCAGATAAAGTTCATTTGGTCCTGGAGTTTTACTCAGTTTTAACTTTATTGTCTCCTTTGTCTCCTCCTTTATAATTGGCTTATGAAGTGCAAGCTTTTGCTGATTATGTTTTGTGTCTTAGCAGTTTACATTTTATCTTTTCCAAATTGATGCCTGCCTTTCATATACTAGAACTACTTAAGAAATGAATTTACCATTGACAGGCCAAGAGAATGATTTAGAAAAGGATCTACCAAGATGAAGCTTTAAAATTTAAAAAGATAATACAAATTTAAAAGGGCGTTGAATTAGAAGCCCTCCAAGGTCCCTTCTAAATCTGTTATTGTATTAAATGACAAACCCAGAGAGTGACCTAGATAATTTTTTCCTACTTGATTTTCAAATGAAGCTTATTAAAGTTTTGAAGAACTATGCGCAATAGGGCAAAGAAGAAATGAGAAATTAAATCCTGTAAACTAAAGATTATGATTGCTAGAAGTAAAAGGAAGGAATACAAAGGTGGTTAAATGTTAAAAGAAAATATGTTAATTCTGGCAAACCTTTACACTTTCTGCTGACACTAGGACTGAAAAATGTTTTACAGAAAAATGTTTTATAAAACAGCACGCATATGGGATGAAGTCTGTGATGAAGAAATAAATGTTTGTAATCTTGAAGAGGATGAAGAATCACTAAATTTTTTTATATTTGTGATGCTGATTATAAGTAACTTTTTTATATATTTATCTTCTCTTTCTTTAATATATTCCTACTTTTCTCTTTTTTCCTTTTTAAACATTTTTTACTGTTTCTGTTTGCTTTTTTCTTTAAATTTAATTTTTACAGGTAATCCTTAAGTTATGAATGTAATGGAGCCTGCCAATTACATTCATAACCAGGGGATTCATAGGAGTGAATCATGTAACTTGAACATGATCACTCCCTGCTTTCGCCCATGCATTTGCTAATTGAATGTGTGGGTCTTTAAGTGCACGAAGTATCTCACGGTGGGGAAGGCCATGGGGGACCTAGTGCTTCCAACTACCCAAGGCCTCTCCTGACCCACTATCTCATGTTTCCCACTCCCCCCTATCCTGCCCAACTGGATCACTTACCTTATGTAGATCTTAATGATCAAGGGAGCTATCTCCTCTCCAGCCTCTCTGCTATGTGTTCATGTTGAGCAGAGGCTTGCCGATGTGTGCACGGACGAGATTGCATATCCCTATAGGCTCCGGTCATCTTTGTAAAAAGCCTTTGTTGCTGAGAATGGAGGTTAAAAGGGACACACGCACCCCTTCTGGCTTCCATTCTCAGTAGCAAAAGCTTTTTGCAAAGATGACAAAAGGCTTTGCAAATGGAGGGAAGGCTTCAGTGCTTCAGGCCTTCCTTCCATTTGCAAAGCCTTTTACTGTGGATCTCGTTCAGGCCCGTGAGGTCACACGAGATCAGTAGTGCAAGATCTCACGCTACTGATCTCATGTGATCTTGTGATACTTTAGGCCTCCATTCTATGCGAATGCACCAAAGATCTAATACACCGAAGCAGGCCAATAAACCAAAGGCTCGCTAGATCTTCGCAAAATATCTACAGGCCCAATGCCTGTGGAGATCTGGCCGGTGGGGGGAATAGGCAGGGCAAATGTTGCAGTGTCTGTGGTCATTTGTAAGAGTGAATGACTGCCATGGTGCTGCAACATTCATAACCTTGGAACTATGCTGTAAGTACTTGGGGGGGGGTTATGTCTTAACTTTGAATGATCGCTAAATGTACTGCCGTAACTCGAGGATTACCTGTATTAAGTTTACTATTATGATAAAAATGTAAATTAGTAACAGGTACATTAAATTAAAATGTGTGTGTGTGTGTGTACATACATACACACACAGAGAGAGACACGTATATAAAATAATTTTGCAATTGAATTTAATCCTCTCAGGATCTTTTACATTCCATTCTGTGTCATTTATAGAAATGTAAACTAGTACTTGGTCAATGATAGATTCGATGATCAATGCTGCAACATTCATAACTTTGGAACTGTGCCGTAAGTACTTGGGGGGGGGGTTATGTCTTAACTTCGAATGGTCGCTAAATGTACTGCCGTAACTCGAGCATTACCTGTATTAAGTTTACTAATATGATAAAAAATGTAATTTAATAACAGGTACATTAAATTAAAATGTATGTCTCTGTACACATAGATACACGCGCGCGCGCACACACACACACACACATACACGTATATAAAATCATTTTGCAATTTAATTTAACTTTCTCAGGATCTTTTACATTCCATTCTCTGTGTCATTTATAAAAATGTAAACTAGTACTTGGTCAATGATAGATTCCAGAGAGACCTGATTTGATTCTTCTTTACATAATGCAATAAGAGCACCTTTGTGTGCATTTGTTCAATCACTTGCAAACCCCTGAACTGCAGCATCACGTAAGGCTCATGTGTTCACCATGGCCACTGTCTTGCCCCAAAGGGTAGAAACAGCCTTAAGAGAGAAGGACCCTGGCAGTTCATGGCAAGAACACTGGGATGCTCTCTACAATCCAATTTGTTTATTTGTTTATCAAATTTTTGAAATTGCTCATCTCCCTCAGAGAGGAAGCCTGGGCAGTGCTTCAAGTAAAAAACACTAAAACATAAACATATTAAATTTACTATTTAAAAAGGCAGATGTACTAAAAAGTAATATTAAAGTTAATTAAAAGACAGGATGGGCTTTCATGATGCTAAACAGTCCCACAGCCATGGTTTTACTATTTCTGAAAGGCAAGGAGAATAGGGGCCTGACTCACCTATGGGGGACAATGTTCCAAAGAGTGATGGCAATGGCAAAGAAGGTTCTCTTTCTAGATGCTGCCAATCAGAAATCTTTAGCTGATATGGTCTACAACATACTTTCCCTACTTGAATGTGTGGTTTGGACTGATGTAATGGGATGATTATGGTTCAGTAGGTCACCTTGGCTCTGCCATGTAGGGCTTTAAAGGTCATAACCAACATCTTGAATTGGACCCAGAAGCAAACTGACACCCAATATAGCTCATTTGGTAAAGATGTTAGATGCACTGTTCTTTGGGTACTGAAGATTGCCCACACAGCTAAATTCTGTGCCAACTAAAACTTCCAGAGACTTTTCAAGAGTAGCCCATGTAGAGCACATTTCAGTAGTCCAAATGGGAGATGACCAGGGCATGAATGACCAAACAGACAGCCTCCCTACCCAGGAAATGGCATAACTGGCACACCACACAAAGTTGAGCAAAGGTTACTTTTGAATTTCAGACTATAATGTAGTGCCCAACTTTAGCTTTACATTAATATCTGCATTCCTGAAAACCAAAGTATATAACTGACTTGCCTCATCTTTCCCTCTCCTTTCATTATGAACTCCAACATGATGTGGTTGCTTTCCCTCAGGCTGCTTGACACCTTCAGTTCATCAACCAATTCCATTTTGCTGATTAGAATTAGGTCCATGATAGATGACTCCCTTCCTGCTTCTTCCACTTTCTGAAAAATAAAGCTCAGCAAGCAAAATCAGAAACCTATGAAATCTCTTACTACTAACTGAATTAAATTGATATTTCCAATTACCACTATAGCCTACCCTCTTCAGAACTTGATGAGTTGTTTAGAAAGCCACAGTTCGCTTCTTCCTACTTTAGGAATCCTAAAGAAGAAAGCCTACTCTCTTTCCTTTCATCTACTCTAGAAAGTAGCAATTTTGCATTTGCTACAGGTGCCGTAGCTTAGTCTTCTAGTAAGAAAATGGGTCTAGTACATACTTGGCAACTCACAATTAAATCTCCTACTCTCCTCCCCCATGAAACTCTCCCACAAAACTTCTGTTTGTTCTCCTAGTCAATTGATGTGGTAACGAAATTCCTAGCTGCCCTATTTGCTTTTTAAAGATTTCGAGCTGACTTTGCCAACAACATTGTAAGATGAATTATTGAGGAAGGTAATGAACTTAATTATTTTTTATGACTGAAAGGACATTTTAATTTAGAATTCCACAATTATATTCATCCCTATCTATCTATCTATCTATCTATCTATCTATGAATGAGACACAGTTATTTGAACTGCTTTGGCATACCACTGATGGCTCTTCCAACATCACATAATCTCCCAATGAGTCCTGGACATGGTGATATAAAGATGGCAAGAGTACACAACATGATGCCAGCAGCACTAAGTTTCAAGATTCCAATCTCCTTAATGTTTAAGTTTCACAACCACTTGACTTTTTTTTCAATAAAAAAATTAAACATGGAACTGGCATTCCGCAAAGCAAAGCACTAGCTTATTTATTTATAGGGATATCTCTGAGACCAAGGAGGCAAAAACCACTAGAGGAGAATTTCTGGTAAATGAATACTTTATGACTGGCCAATCCCACTATGCGGGATTTGTCAGTTTGTCATGGCAACCATTTTTCACAATCTGCCTACTATATCCTTTCAAAATTCTAAGAGCAAAATTCTAGCTCTCTCTAAAATATGGTATGCTTTGAGATGGTTCCTCCAAGATAGCACTTACAATATATACATTTCCTTATGGTGGCATAAATCATGTTGGGTTCTGTTTATTAATGAATTAATGTATTTTTTTCTGTACATCTGTGATACAGTTCTTTATTTTATAAAGACATTTAGCTGAATATCTGTTATTTATTGAAACTATCAGAATGATCAACTGAAACTCCCCTTCAGTTAATTTTAAGGGAGAGAAACACGCATCCTGGCTAATGGCAATATATAATCCAAACTGATAAACTATAGAATTCAGTTCTGATTTGTATTTTATTTCCTTACTATTGCATGTTTAAATTAGATGCTATTTTATATTGAATGACTATGATTTTCTGTAACTTTTTTATTTTTGTACACTAGCAGTCACGTGATCTGATGTAAACAGACATAAACATGGATTGATTAGTAAATAAATAAATCTGCCCAAATCAAGCAACTAAAATGTGTAACTACCAATTTAGCAGATGACATATTACACACAATTTTGAACATGAATTACACTGCTTTGAAATGCTATTGCAAATTAATTCAATGTATCAAATTACTAGATTAGATTTTGCTTCAACAACATTTTAATCCTATATTATGGGTTATATTTTTCTATCTATGAGATATAGGAAGAATGTTAAGTCCTTGGCTGGCAAAGTTTTGCCAGAAACCTTTCCCTGCCACCCAATAAAGGTCATATGTAAGCTTTGATGCACAAAATAAGATATTTTCTTAGGTAAGAAAATAGCTTTGCAACTCTGATAAATTTTAGAAATAAAGACCAAGTAAAATATGTGACATATAACACTATATGTGAAAAATTATTAAATAGTCTCTAAACCTTTTAAAATAAGAAGAAACAGTCTATTCCCTTTTATACAGTACAAACCTAAATTCAGTTAGTGAGAGGCCAATACATGTAATATTACTAAATCTTAGTTGGGGTTGCATGACCAATTGCTGTTGGGGTTTTAGACACTAATCATTTGTGCAACATGGAGAAGAGCAAGGCTCTGTTTGAACATAGTTCAAGAAAGAAGAGGCAAATTTTTAGAAGAAATTTGTTAAAAAAATGGAGAATATAGGACATAGAGAGTATGCTTTGGATATGGGTTTATCCTTTTTTATTATGTATTTCATGAATAAACATATAAAACTTTTAAAAAGTTTTTTAAAAATTTATTTGCCTATTTCTATAGCGCTAGAACTAGTTTCTCTATTTTCCATTGAAATATGATTTTGAATAGTACAATTCAAATAATGCCACCATTTTGTGGAACTCATTAATTGAGACCACTTGTATAAATAAGCAATGGAAAAAGTGGAGAAAAATATTGAAAATTAATGCTTACACTGCTCTACTTCCCTTTATTAAAAGAGTTTTTATATTTCAAAATTTAAAGTGTTAAAGTTGGGCATTTCTTTCAAATAGCATAACCTAAACTAAAGTGAAAACTTAAAAAATTCATTTTAAAGCTGTCCCAGTTTTAAAAAAGGAAGATAAACTACAATGAAAAATATTCCTTACCAAGATAATTTACTTCAGTTACTAAACTACTTCCAATAATATCACAGACTATCTAGGAATAATAACATCTTCCACCTATCCACTTGTCACTTATAAGGCAAGCATCTTAAAATGAAGGTGAAAATTAAAAATCCAAATTGCAAAGAAAGGTATGCTGACCATAAGAAAATGCATATCAAATTTTGAAATAAGAACAGAACTCCTTGAAACACTCAGCAATATAAAACTAAAAGCTATTATCTCAAGTATTTACTCAAGCTTTCCAGTATATGAAATGATCTGCATAAGTTTCATATATTAAGATTTCTCGTAAGTATAAATTGTAAGACTTTCTGATAAAATTCAAGGCTACATGGTAAGTGTATATTGTACCCACATTTCTGTTCTATTAAAATTGCATCTTTTTCCTCTCATTATATTAACCTTTTTGCATTGATATGATTTATCTACCAGTAATCATAGAATAATGAATTTGAATAGAACCTGTATTCTATGCTGAAAAAAAATGATCAGTGTTTGTTTTTATTATACTGTTATTTGAAAACCTGTGGGCACCCTTAATATAAAACCTAATTGCAAAACTACTGTAAAATTAGTATGGGGAAAAAAAACCCCACCAACTTCAGAGATCTTCTAGGCTAAGTATTTGATTCTACTATTTGTGTCCATTTGGGAGGAGAGTATCTATTTTTTTGTATCACACCTTTATTATTCTTACAATTGTAACTCAAAGTGGTAAATATATCTAACATACCATCCTCCTCTATTTTCCCCACACAACAATCCTATGAGGTGGGCTGGCTGACAGCGGCTGGTCCAAAGTCATCCAGCTGGCTTTCATGGCTAAGGTGAAACTTGAACTTATGGCCTCATGGCCTTTGTAGATCAGTACCTTAATCACTAGACCAGCGGTAGGCAAACTTGGCTCTTTTATGACTCCTGGACTTCAACTCCCAGAATTCCTGATCCAGCATGGGTTAGCATGGAAACCTCTCCATTTCTCCTCAGCATGGCTGGCTTAGAAATTCTGACAGTTGAAGCCCATGAGTCATAAAAGAGCCAAGGTTGCCTACCCCTGCACTAGACCGAACTGGCTCTCATATATAATATATATAAAACAGGATAATATACACTGTGTGCACATTAGGCAACTATTTTGATCATATCATCATCATGCATTATTTTCCATCTCCAAGCTTCATAAACTTGAATGCTTAATGGATATAAACATATCAGGTGATGTGTATTTGTGTAATGATGGAAGGTGTGGCTTAAGGAGATCAACACTTTATATTAAGATGCACACAATAATTAGGCAGCTTCTTTTCCTCAGGCAAAATGGGCCAAAAAAGGAATTTAACTGATTCTGGAAAGTCAAAAATTATAAAAAGTCTTTCAGAGGGATGCAGCACTTTTGAAATTGCTAAGATATTGGGGCGTGATCACAGAGCCATCAAACGTTTTGTTGCAAATAATCAATAGGATCGCAAGAAACGTTTGAGGGGGGGAAAAGACACATATTAACTGCCAAAGATTTGAGAAGAATCAAACGTGAAGCTACCAGGAACTCATTATCCTCCAGTGCTGTCATATTCCAGAACTGCAGCCTACCTGGAGCACCCAGCAGTACAATGTGTTCAGTGTTCAGAGAGATGGCCAAAGTAAGGAAGGCTAAAACCTAACAATCACTGAACTGAATAAGTTGAAACAGCAAGACTGGACCAAGAAATATCTGAAGACAGATTTTTCAAAGGTTTTATGGACTGATGAGATGAGAGTGACTTGAGCAACCAGATGGATGGGTCCATAGCTGGATCAGTAATGGGCACAGAGGTCCATTTCGACTCAGACACCAACAAGGTGGAGGTAGAGTACTGGTATACGCTGGTATTATTAAAGATGAGCTACTTGGACCTTTTCCAGTTGAAGATGAATTCAAAATCAACTCCCAAACCTACCACCAGTTTTTAGAAGACACTTTCTTTAAGCAGTGTTACAGAAAAATCTCTGCATCTTTCAAGAAGACCATGATTTTTATGCAGGACAATACCAATCGTATGCATTAAAGCAGAGGTCACCAACCTTTCTCGGTTGACGGACCAGAGGGAAAGGGAGGGGGAAGCATTTTACACGCACGTGATGCAAATGGGGAAGGGTTAGAGCCCGCATGATACTCACTAGCCCTGCCCTGTTCTTGTGCGGTGCAGCGCCCCATTTCCATGCTCTGCGATGCGGCTGCACCCATTTTGCACCTTTTAGTGTGGTGGCAGCCCATTTTTCTGCCCCAAGGCATGGTAGCATCCCATTTTTATACCCCGCGGTTCAGCAGCATCCCATTTTCACACCCTGCGGTGCGGCGGCAGCATTCTGTTTTCATGTCCAGCGGCATCCCATTTTTGCACCCCGTGGTGTCGTCCCATTTTCATGCCAAGGCATGGCAGTGGCACATTTTTGTGTCGAGGCATGGTGCAAGCGTGAATGGGGATGCGTGCACACACGTGTGCACACTGGCCAGCCTGTCTTGCAGCCTGGTAGCCAGTAGGCCATGGCCCACTACCAGGCTGTGGCCCACAGGTTGGGGACCCCTGCATTAAAGTACTCCATTGTGTGGCTTGCCAGTAAAGGCCTTAAAGATGAAAGAATAATGATATGGCCCCCTTCCTCACCTGACCTAAACCTTATTGAGAAGTTGTGGACCCTTCTTAAACAGGAGATTTACGATGAAGGAATACAGTACAATTCTCTGAACAGTGTCTGGGAGGCAGTGGTTGCTGCTACATAAAATGTTAATTGTCAACAGATCAAGAAACTGACAATTAATGGAAGGCTTATGACAGTTATTGAAAAGAAGGGTGATAATATTGGTCAGTGATTTCTTTTGTCAGAAATGTTTACTAGTACATTTTAAGTTGTTTTTTTAATTATTCTCACTTTAACAGATGCAAATAAATGAGTAAGATGGGCAAATTTTCATTTTTCATTTAGATGCATACTAATAATTGCCCAATAATTGTGCACACATAGATATTCTCCTATGAAAGCCAAAACCTCACTTTTACTTTAATATTCAGGTTTGGGGTTTATTAACATTTTGGATTGACCAGGAGCACTGTAGTTGTTCAATAAGAAAATTAATCCTCCAAAATACAACTTGCTTAATAATGGTGCAGGCAGTATATATATAATTCTGACACTACGTAATTACATTATATAATTACATTGTGGATAAGTGTATATTATCATTTTGTATCATTATGGTTCCTACAGAAGCTGTAATACCCTATATACTACATACCATTGAAGTTTATTAAAATAGCATTATCCCAAGTTTTTGGAGTGGGTTTGTCTTGTTAAATTCAATGCCCTTATTGCACATACACTCCTCAAATTTTCACTCTCTTGTAAATTGCTAAGGGATTTCAGCACAGCATTTGTTTTTGTTTTAAAATGCAAAGTGCACAACTTATATTTAGTAACATTTTCTCATTCAGCATCAGAAAATAAATATTGTATTCGCAGAATAAAATCCACAAGCTCCATTTGAACTGGCCAAAAGGACGCTTCTTGACAAATAAAATTTTAGGGGAATTTATTTTTCAATGCTTTATTATGAATTTTACAGTCCAAAAGCAGTTTTGAAAATTGCTTATTAACTTTTCAGCTATTAAAATCTTGGAGTAGACAGCACCAAAATTCATAGCGAATACAAGGACTTACTTAAAAAATCAATTATTCAATTATTTTGAATAAAGGTGATTGGAATGTCAATTCTGGAAATTTACAGAGTAAAAATTCAAATAAATTGAAATAAAAGTTTGAGATTAATTTTTAGAATCCTTCCTATGGAAAATGCTTTTGTTTTGAATTCTTTAAAAAAAATAGAATGGGATTTTGAAGGTGGGACACTAGGGCAGGGGTCTCCAGCCCCCAGTCCATGGATTGGCACTGGGCCGTGGCATGCCAGAAACTGGTCCATGCAAACAAGCAAAGCCCCATCCGCGGGATGCAGACAATACATGAAACCACGCCCTCTCTGGGCCGCCGAAAACCCTCTCTCCACAGAAGTGGTCCCTGGTGCCCAAAAGGTTGGGGACCTCTGCACTAGAACATCGATATCCAACCTTTTGGCTTGCCTAGGTGCACTGAGGCAAGAAGACTGGGGTCGCATATAAAATATATATATTATGTATATAAATCACATAATACTATTCAGGTTTACAATCCTGTGGGGGCTGCATTACTACCGTAACTGTCTATAGCCACATGTGACCATTGGGTCACAGTTTGGACACAACTATATTAAAGGAACCCAGAAAAAAACTAAAGATTACAATTAAAAGAGAAGAAGATTTAAATTTGACTTACTAATACAGAGTAAAGCATTAGACGTGCTGAAGGATATTTGTGAACAGCGGATTTGGAAGTTAATTTTAAAAGTGTATGACATTATAGACAGACTATGTTTAAAAGATGTAATGGAAGAGAACAGACTTCTAGTTGGGATCTCGCAGTGATGCAGATATAGGAAAACGGGGATCCATCTTTAGTGTATGGTTTCGCCCCACTGAGGGACCCTGGAAAGGGTTGATAGTTGCCCTGTAGAGGTGGCAAGCAAGGAGGGGACTCTCGTTGATCACGGGGGGTGGGGGGGGTGGAAGCCACCCCATTTGATCCAAGGAAGCCCTCCAAACCAGCGGAAGAAAGACTGGCTGCATTTGTGTAGCTAGTCCAAAGTTGTCAACAAGCACTGCCAAGCAACTTTACAGCAACGTGGATGAAACTGGATGAGACCTGATCCTTTCTTCATGATTTTAAGACCTCTTCCTGAAAATCTGCCCAAAGCGTTCCCCCCCAATGAAAGAGGAAAAGGGAATTTCCATCCTACTCTCTCAGAAAAGCAGCGAATTAATACTTGCAGACACTGGCGAAACCTATAAGACTTATCTGGAATTAAAATATACTTATAACTTGAAAATTTGGGGACCAAAACTGTTTTTAAGACTTTTTTTTAAAGGAAGAGAAACAAATTACACTAGACAAGACTGAGACTAATCTAAAAGTGAATTTAAAATGACAGGCTACAAGAAGGATCTAGAAAAATACGCTACATTGAATATACAAATGAAACAGTAGTGTCTTAATAATTAAAAGGGATAGACAAATAACAAACCAAATGAGTATTCGTGATAACTTTCCTATATTGGATTTAAAAGAGTTATTAAAGCTTTGAAGAATTTTGTGGAAAGGGACTAAACAACTGCAAAGAAATGAAGTTCTAGAACATTATTTGAAAAAAAAATTAAAGATCAAGATAGTTAAAATAAAAAGGAAAGAATATAAAGTTGCTTTATTTGATCAGAATTAAAACAGATAATTTTGGAACCCTTAATGAACTTTTGGTGGATTAAACAAAGTTTTAAGGAGTCAATAAGAGATAAGAGATGAGATATGGGAAGAAGAGATTACTTGTGGCATTCTAAAAAAAGGCAACAATAATTGTTTATACTTGTTATTTTCCTTACTATATTGTTATTTTTTTTCTTTCTATTTTTCTTTTCTATACTTTCTATTTTTTCTTTTTTTCCTCTTTTTTAGTTACATTTTTATTTTTTTAATTGTAATGTTTAATAAAATTACTATAAAAATATAAATTGATGAAAATGACAATCCATCCCTAGGAATAATGAAATATTCTATTTAATTATCAAAGTTATATCCCATCATAATCATATAAGACTCTTGGCAGCTCATAAAGATATGAACTGGTAAAAAACGCTTTGATGGAGGCCAACTACAGAAATCCTTTTATCTACAGTGAAGACCACACCATCTATTTACTCCCAAATCTCCCAATCTGGCTGAACATATTGGAAAAAGGAAACATAATTTGGCAGCCCAGAAGCACATACCTTTAGACTTTGGATTCAAAGCATTCAAATCTAAAGAAAAGGAGCTGCATCAGATAGCGAGACATGATTAGAATCCCAATAGTATTAGAAGGACATGGTCGGGCCCTCTTGACTCTCTGTGTTATTGGTCTTTACCTCGTCAAATCCATACCGCCTACCCAACCAGAGCCCAAACTACGGGCTTCCTTGACTCACTCCATTTCTCTTACTCGCTCACTCAGGCGTGCGAGGGGCATATCCACCTGCAGGGCTCCCGTCGCATGTTCTCAGTTACAGAAAAGGCAACGTTGTCGGTCTTTCGCTCGTTAGCTCAGCGCTATCTCTTGATGCCCACCTACCGCTTTTCCCAGCGAGCTCAAAATCCCCGGAATAGAAACATTTCCTACTGGACGAGCTCTTCCTTTCTTCAACTTACCCAAGCTGAAGATGAAGCAACACGCTCGCCGATGCCGCCCCCGCTCTGCCAGCAGCCCGCTTCTCCTGGCTCGACTTTCTACCGCCCAGCACAACGTTCCATTCGTCTGCTCGGAGACGGGGAAACCAGCCCTTCAACGCCCAACCCGGGGCTCCTTGATGAGAGATCAGGCTAAGGGTTACCCCCCTCCTTTCGCAGCTTCCCCATTCGTGCTGCGAAAGAAAAAGGAAAAACCAGGAAGTGAGTAACGCCGAAATTGCCACGCCCTCACCCTCCGCTTCCCCAGAACCGGAACGCCTCCCCCCCACCGAGGGAACAGACCGTCTCGAAGGAGGCGTGCCGGTCACTCCTGCGGCAGCTGCATTGTTGGTGTCACGTCCTCCAGCAACTAGCATTGCGCTCATTGAATAGGGGCTATTGACTGAACTAAAGTACTCTGAGAGTTGACCCGAGTTCATCCTCACTTTCCACTTGACACAGGCAGGGTAAGAAACACAGATGCGACACAAAGCTTTCAATATTTTATTACCAGTTATCCTTAAGGTACATACTTAGCAGAAAATGCCATTTGTTTCAGTTGCACTTAATATTTAATACGATTAGGTCGAAGAACACTGAATACAGTCAAGGAAGATTATACTGATAGGTAGAGGGGGAAATGTTTTATGTATAATTAAAGATGACAAAATATTAAATTAAAATACTGGGAATACTTAAATATCAATAATTGCAATATTCAGTATACTGTAATGTTATTATCAAAGTCTAGAATTAGACTTCTTCAGATGCTAAAAATAATTTGTGCATCTTGTAGTATAATTCATCTTGATGTGTGGGGGGAAGCGGGGAGTCCTATTTGCTGATAGGAATATTTACTGATTAATAATAATTATTTATTAATACTATAGTGGTCTGAGATGCCCTAAGACAGCAAGCAGCATGTCTTACAGCTTAGGCCATCTTAATATACTAAAAATATACTACAAGTAGACCATTCATTTAGTGACCATTTGACGTTACAATAACACTGAAAAAAGTGACTTATGACTGTTTTTCATATTTACGACCATTGCAGCATCCCCATGGTCACATGATTAAAATTTGGACACTTGGCAACTGGCATGTATTTATAACGGTTGTAGCATCCTTGGGTTATGTGATCACCTCTTGTCATCTTCTGACAAGCAAAGTAAATGGGGAAGCTAGATTCACTTAATAGCTGCTTCAAGAAAGGTCATAAAATGGGGCAAAACTCACTTAAATGTCTTGCTTAGCAATGGAAATTTTCGGTTCAGTTGTGATTGTTGAGGACTATCCATATTAGTAAATAGTAGCAATCGTACCCTATTACATATTTTCCAAATAAAAAGATTTGTTTCACATGTTGCTTTTATTTTATTGAAGTTTGCTTTTATACTATTTTATACTATTGATTTTAAAAAATACAGACCACAAAAATATACTGTCTGGAAAGATTGCACCATTATAAAAATCTGATTAAAAATAAATTTAAAAGGATCCTACAGTGACAAAAAACAACACAATCTTAAAATAATATAAGGCTGCATAATTAAAAAGGAATTAAACTAAAGACCAATACTAATTTTAAAAGTTAATCAGTATCATTTTTAGTATATTTTGCACTAAAGTTAATTATAGTTTCTGGTCGCATCAGCAGCCAAAAAATACATTTTAATAGTTAAATTTAGAATCACAGCAGTAATAGTCTGTTTGGAAGCATCATTGCTTCAGACATGAAGGCAGTGCAGAGTGGTGAGGATAGCTGAAAAGATCATTGGCAGTTCCCTCTCTTCCATCCAGGACATAGCACAGAAGTGTTGCTTGATCAGGGTCTGTAAGATTGTCTGGGACACTACACATCCTCTTCACGACCTTACCTTGTTACCTTCTGGGAGGAGGCTTCGTGGTATCCGAAGCAGAACATCCAGATTCAGTCACAGTTTTGTTCCATGTAGTATTAACCTTGTGAATGCTAAAGCTTCCTCCTTCAGTTATGTATTCAAGATAATGATTAATATTTATATGTTACTTATATGTAAGGGTGTAGGTCTATACATATGTTGTATATAGGATATTTAAAAAGGTTTATAAAACCTTACCCCTGGATCATTGTTTTTGTATTGTTGTTTTGTTATGTTTTATGTGTTTTTTATTGTTAGCTGCCCAGAGTCCTTCGGGAATGGGGCGGCTTATAAATTTTAAAAATAAAAAAAAATAAATTATGTATGTTCACTTCGAGAGCAAGCAACTAAATTTCATTTTTAATTTGTGTGATTGTGCAGTAAAAAATGACAATAAAGGTTATCTATCTGTCTGTCTATCTATCTATCTATCTATCTATCTAATATAGCATATGGTATTCAGGAATAGTATATTAATCATAGTGGCCACACAGATTATCTGGAAATCAAGAAAATAAAATGAACCAGCAGCATATTACACTTCAAACTATTTTTTTAAATGATACCATAATTTATTTAGAATCGGTATATTTAAAGATAATGTAATGTAAAGGAGAAACAGAATTAAATGTCACAAAATTAGGAGTTTGCTGGCACCGTGTTGAGTAACCATTTTTATTAAAAGGCACACCTTTTCATGAGCTCATTTCATTTATGCATCTGATAAAGTGAACTGCAGCTGACGAAATGTGTCCTTTTAATAAAATTTGTTAACAAAATATGCCAGCATAATCCTGTTGTTTTCTCATCATAGATTAACATAGGTAAACTGGCTGTTACCATGCTACTGATGCTGTTGCAGCAATGTTAATGCCAGAAACAATTCCAAAACAAGAAGATATACAACATACAGTACTCAAAATGACTTTTGCCATTATCCAAACACTGTAAGTTTTTCATTCCAATTTGCAATTCAGGTCAGGAACTCTGTAGCAGATATATTGGAAAGTTCTGTTGAAATAAATGTCTACATAGCTTTGGTTAAAAGAATAGCCTTACTATAGTTACTATAGTTACTGAAAGGAGCAACACTGTAGTTATTTTACCTCAAATACTGTAATTCTTTTAAGTTGGGGAAAGATATTTTAAGAGACTGTTTGTGATAATGGAAAGAGATATATTCATCTACCTAAGCTTGGGTGAGAGAGGCAAGATTATCTTAGTTATCTATAAATTGCAGGCCCATAACCATGGATAATATAAGTGTAATATATCTTTCTAAGGTCAATATTCCACACTTTTAACTAAAAAAATTATAATCTATGAAAGCTTTTTCCTAAAACATTTAGAATTACATAAAGATTTTATTTTTCCTGCAAAGACAACTAATTAGAAACTTTAATATGGCCTTGATTGATCAAAATATGGGGGGGCATTATTTACATTAATATATTGCTATATTATACATAAGAGTATGGAAAAGAAATCATTTATCCATTATTATGAACATCTTTTTCATATACTGAATTCATATTGAATACTGAGTATCGTTCAAAAGGCCGGATGATAGAGAGCATATGTGAGATTTATTAATTCTGCATTGCAACTATTATGTTTAAAATTTTAAATTCTGAAAACGATTGTATTCGGGATATCTTAGAATGCCTTCCAGAATAACTTATGCATTACCTTCAGTCTATTCTATTTGCATACCAAAGCTACTCATAAATTTAGTCATAGTATACTCACAAATAAAACCGTAATCCAGCGTACATTTATTTATTTCTTAAGCGATCGACTGGATTTATATCTGATTAAACATACCTACGATCGGAAAGAAATCCTATGACATTTTCTTTCCTCCTTTCGGTCTAGGAGAAGCACCCTCCCGCCTCTCCAGAGACGAACTGCAATGAAGACGGGAAATCCCAGGGTTGAGCTTCCCTCGCCATCCGTGACGTACAAGGAAGGAACGAATCATCCAGTGAGAATACGCGAGGGATGCCTTCTCCGCGCATTCGTAACAGAAATGAGAAGAAACAAAAAAGCTGCGACGGGGAGTGACGTAATCAGAAGGCGCTGCGAAGGCGCGAGGTTAGCGAAACTCTATGGTGGTGTCAGGCGCTTTTTTTTTTTTTTTTTTGACCACCTGCTGAGAGGTTCTTGGTGTTTGGAGGCGAAGGAGTCTGCGCTTGGGATTAATTATTATGGCGTCGGTGGTCCTGAGCGAGGCGGAAAAAGTTTATATCATGCACGGTGTCCAGGTAAAAGGCCGGCAAACGGGGGTAGGGATTGTAAGGGCTCCTTTTAAGCTTCTTTCTAGATTTTTTCTTGAATGTACCCCATCATAAAAAAGTATTTTTTCTATTCTTTTGCATGTACGTATGTGTATTTATTTCCTCCGCATAGTCATAGGATGTGACTTGCAGTCCGTGTGCGAATTTAAGATGGCATGGCCATTTTACATACACGACTCTGGGAGACTCACATAGTTACAGAAGTAACAAGAAGCAAAATACAGCTAAGTAACCATAACAATAACAGCAAGCCTACTTAAAACTAATTAAAATATTAAATCATAAAACATAATCTGTGGAAGCAGGCTACGTAATTCCGTAAGATTCCCTAGCACAATGACATAACCAGGTTTAAAGGACTTCTAAAATATCAGTAGAGTCAGAGCCAAATTCACCTTGGAGGAAATTATATTCCAAAAGGCGGATAGCAAAAGTTGTCCTCTTGGTTACTAACAAATGAATGCCCTTAGTAAATGGGACCGCAACCTGCCTTTCCTCTAGACCTGAGAAGACAGATAGATGTAACCAAAGAAAGTCTGCCCCTCGAATAAGCTGCCACGCCATGTGGGTCTTTAGTGGTCATTATCAACATCTTGAATTGAACCCAGAAGCAAACTAGCAACCAATGCAGTTCACAGTAAAGATATAGTTTGTTCTAATCTGGGAGTGCACATAACTGCCTGGGCCATCACATTTTGCACCAGTTAAAGTTTACAGATACTCTACAAGTCCAGCCCATTCAGGAGGCAACCAGAGAATGAGTGACCAAGATTACAGCAGAGTCTCCTGATCCGGGACCAGGTGCAGCAGGCACACAACCCAAAGTTGTATAAAAGCCCTTCTAGCCACAAGTGTCACCTGTTCATTGAACAGGAATCATGAATCCAAAATGACCTTGTGATTGTACTTAGGATCTACTTGGGGTAATACCACCATCTCTTTCACCAGAGATGGTAATTTCCTGGATCCTCCAAAGCCACTTAGTTTTGCTGAGGTTGAACTGCCTATTGTTCCCAAATAGCAGTTCCAGCAATTTGATATTAGTTAAAATTAATGCTTCATAATAGAGCTAGCTAATATTTTGAACTGAATTTATACTTCCCAATTTGAGACTTGGATAAAACCTTGGGGGTCTTGCTAGACTCACAGATGCTGCTTGAAGTCCTTTGCATAGGTACATTTTGCACTCTTTTCAACCAAGAGACCCTGGCACTACAGATGGTCACTCAAAGCCATCTTATTACTGCTATGCACTCTTCATGGATATGTCCTTGAAGACCACCTAGGGACAGCAATTGTTCAAAATGCAATGGTGTAAGCCAGGAGTGTCAAACTGCTGGCCCATGGGCCGGTTGCATCATACGAAAGCTGTGCCTATCCCAACTCTGGCAATGCGAAAAAAGTCACGATATGCCACATCACGTGACAGGGTGAGTTTGACACCTGTGGTATAAACAGTAGTGGGTACTTTTCATTGTGCACTGCTGCATTAGCTACCAGTTGCCTCCCAGGTGCAATTCAAGGTGCTGACTATTAATCTTAAAAATAATAAAATATTTCAACCAGTAAATTGAAAGCATAGGCATTTAAAAAGACGTGCATTTTAAAAGATTTACATAATTGGTCTGGTCAATAATCTTAATTAAGATGCAATTCATGAAATAAATTGAGTGGGAAATTGTTTTCCTAGAACAGTTGAGCTACAACTCCCACCATTCCTTATAAACCAACTATAGTAACTGCATTACATGTTAAGTTGTGAGTCAGGAAAGTCTGAAAGACATGGATTCTTTATTATTGATACAATAGTGATCTCTATTATGCTTTAAGCTTCCATATTTTGCCTATGCATCCTTTGCACATGTTGTAAGATTAAGGGAACAGTTTAAAGAAACTATAGTTTTTTATTGCATACGCATTTGAAAGGAAAAGCCTCTTCTAATAAAGTAATTAAAACAAAGAACAAGCTACTTGAATATCTTGGTAATTTTTCATGTTGCATTATAGCTTGTTCTTAGCAAAAGTAGCTTTTTTTTACCTTGCATAAAATCAGAGCATATGTATAAAATCAGAGCATATGTATGTACTACAGCCTTGAGGCTTGATATAATATGATAAGGATTTAAATCATGCTTGAGGTGACTGTTTTGAATGAGGCCTACTTAAATAATGAGTGAGCTGATTGCAATGGTAGGTAAATCTAAGAGAAAACTTTCCTTGGACTGCTTTTATATTAATCCATAATGTCATTCATAGTACATATATTTGCTTCTCTAAGTAAATTTTACCCTACTACTTAAATAATGTATATTTTGACAAGATTGTGATGGCATAATGTGACAGTATTGGAATTGGTATTGTAGGAAGATCTTCGAGTTGATGGCCGTGGCTGTGAAGATTATAGATGTACAGAAGTGGAAACAGATGTGATATCTAATACAAGTGGGTCTGCTAGAGTAAAACTTGTAAGTACATCTAATATATTGTACCCTGCCATTATATCTCTTGATTTTATTTGAAGAGAATACTTCTCTTTATAAAATCAGCACATTTTGTTGCTTAAGAATTCTAGTATAGGATTCTATATTTAAGTTAAAAATTAATACATAATTCTTGTACGTCAGAATGTATTTTGTCAGATGTATTAAAATGCATGAAGTATTATTTTCAATTAGCAAATTTTGTTTATGCTAATTGGCAAGCCGAAGAAATTGCTAAAAGTATAACCTAGATCTTATTTATAAATGTGCTGTGGGCTTGCTCCCCATAAAACAAGACTAGCTCCATGATACCTGCATCCATTTTTGTGGACAAATGCTGGAAGGGGCAGAGAGCAAGCATTATGAGTCTCTGAACAAAAAGTGGAACATAAATATAATAATTAACAATGTTGCACAGCTATATGGGTATTGTTTTCTGCTCAAACAGGTATTCTTTTTTCTTCAAGCAGAAAATAATACCCTAATCAAGGAACTACCAAGGGGAAAACCACTACCCCCATCAACACTGACAGGGTAAGCTGCTGTATACAAACAGGGAGCAAGCTTCACACTCTCTAGCACTGATAAAGCTATCTATTTCAGTAATTTCTACAAATGACTAACCAAGCTCAGGGAGCACCAAGAATTCTACAGTTCAACCCAAAGCCACGAAACCAAACTTTCAAACCAACCAAATGGTTTTGGAACAATTTGGAGACCACTGGGTGCCTATGCTTTGTTTAGTAAGTGTTGTATGATTTATGGAAATATCTAAATATTTATTTAATAGCCATGCAAATAGATAGGGTATTAACAGCACTTAATTATACTTGTCTACATAATACTTTGTTTTAATTGGTTGTTTGTTTGAGGGAATTGAAAATGTTTAAAATTGTCTTTTTTATTTTCAGAGTTCTTCATGCTTTAAGGAGAACTGCTGGATAATGCTGATTCATGTGGAAATATAAGTTTGTAAGATCAAATAACTTGGAAAACATATCTATCTCTGTTATAACAGGGGCACACAGACATCCTGGTTGGAGTCAAGGCAGAAATGGGAACACCAAAGCTGGAGAAGCCAAATGAAGGCTCCTTGGAATTCTTTGTTGATTGGTTAGTTTAACTATTAACAGTGGAAGCCTGTGTTTGATTATCATCAGGTAAAAGTCATGTTGACAGCCAGTTAGATATGGTGGTTAAGGCACCATAGTATCTACAGACCATGAGTTCTAGTCCCACATTTGGCCTGAAGCTAGATAGATGATCTTGGGCCAGTCACTCTCTCTGTCCTTAGAAGAACGCAATGGAAAACCACTTCTGAAATCTTGCCAAAGGCAAATCTTGTCAACCACAAGTGAAGACACACATACACAAAAAGCCACATTATTGACAAAATGCCTATGTTTTTAAAAATTTACAGAACGAAAATAAGGATTCGGAAATGCCCTGAAAATCCCTAGTTCAGTGATGGCGAGCCTTTTAGAAACCGAGTGCCCAAAAACTGGTCCTGCCCCCCGCCCACCCCCACTTCGCCCCTGGCCACAGCCTATCCCCGCTCCATCCCCACTTGCCCACCCACAGGGCTACCCACCACCTCCACGGCCCGCCGCAGATCGCCCAAGCAGCCCAGCAGCGCCATGGCAGCCACATCCTCCACCCACGCCCTGCAGCAGCATCTGTGCGACGGTGCAAGTGCAGTGTCCCCGCTGTCTGGCTGCCATGTTCTTGGCTGCGCTGCTCGGGTGATTCTCCTCCAGGGAGGGCTGCTGATGAGGAGGGGCCACGGGGGAGGCAAAGCTGGGGCGATGGCATGCGTGCCCACAGAGAGGGCTCTGAATGCCACCTCTGGCACGCGTGCCATAGGTTCGCCACCACTGCCCTAGCACATAACAATGCATCCACATTAATTTGAATACTGCAGTTACTCATTTTGCAAATAAATATATATTTGCTTAAAGAACTTAAATATGTCATTAGATATATTCAGCTATTATATTTGCAGTTCATTTTTTTCTTCTCTTTGTTCAGGAATGCGTGGGATGATATCACTCTCATCATTTTACATTGAGTATAGGGCTGTATGAAGCAAGATTAGAGAAACTGATCTCCAACAATCAGGGAAAAATGTTTAGATTAATTATACATTATACCACTTCTTAATTTATTTTTTTTTGCAAATTGATTTGTTCGAACATAGATCAGTTTTGTGTACAATAAGATATATATCTCAAGAACAATATGAAAAAACATATTCATTTAATGAAAGATGTCAAAGCTAAAGAAATCACTATTTTAAAATATGAAAACCACAATTAAAGTTCATAATATTTGTAAAGATGTTGTGACACAATCATTTTGCTGACAATTTATAACCAGTTTTATTTGATGTTTTATTTTTTAAAAAAATATTGCTATAGTTAAATGCAGATCTTCTTGCACATTCCCAAAACTTGTTAATTTGTCTGAATAGATTAAGCATTGTGGGAATAATTCCCTCTATTTCTACAAGATTTGCTTCTGGAAATACACTGTTCCTGAAGCACTTGGATCAATCTATAGCAAGGAAGGAAAACAGAAATTTCCAAAGATGGATCACGTACATCTTTCAAGGATGGATCAGGATGAAATATACATATAAAATGTCAATTCATAATTTTTAACAAAAGTAGATAACTGTTTATAATTCACTAAATGTTAAAAATCAGTGGATCATTTCAGTCTAGTGTCAAGCATGAGTATGATATTAAAACAGTGTTGGTCAACTTAGTAGATTATCTTTGCCAAAGGAACAAAGGGACCTCTGCTGATTCTTCTGAAATTCTTTTGGTATTACTTGAATAGATGAATTCCCTCAGTAGCAGAAGTGAAATAAAAGTCCCATTCTTGCATGTAGGATTGATCACAAAACCTACATTGCTTTAATTCCCTCCCTGACAGTTGTGTCATAAAGATTAAGAATTCTCTGTAAGAATGTAAAATTAAAAAAATCTCTATTCCCCTTCCTTTAAAAATTTACACAAAGTCCTAAGGCCTAAGCAAAGATAATTTGCACTGAAGTGTTACCTAGTTCTATTACTAGTCATTTGAGTGAAGTATGATTATATACAGTATTAATAGCAGAAAACCATTGTCAGGTGATGATTCCCATGTACTTATTGCACAGGCATCTGCTACTTATGCTTGTGACTCAGTGCTGATAAAATTTCACTGTCAAAACTTCAAATAATTTAGAGTATGCATATTATATTAAGGGTCTTACCACTAGATGGTGCTAGTTGAATATATTTTAACATCTGAAACTTCTCTGAATTACTTCCTTAGATGATTAAAGTGTATCCATTTTATTAGATTGCCAAATTAGCCATTCTTTTTTCATTATCATTCCAAAATCCTAAATTTTTTTAAAAAGGAAGCAAAATGAATTTCATTAGAATTTTTATTTTCCACCTTAGCAAATCAGAAGCAAAGGAGGGTCTATCCTAATTAGTATGAAGAAGAAATACAACCAGAAATACTGGGGCTGTAGACTAAACTGATAAATGAATAAATTAAACATCATGGGATAAAATAAACCAATTTGCCAAGAATTACATTACTGAATAACCAGAGTTGAGCTCAACTTGAAGAAGACCTTTTATGAGAATTGCAACGTTATTGAGTTGAGTAATAAATCAAATTAGAGTTACATTCCATCCCAAATATGCTTTTTCATGAGGCAACTCGATTTTCTTGTTTTTTCTTTGAAGACATTGAAGAAAAAAGAAAAAAACCCAAGAGTCCAGTTGCCTCGTGGAAAAGCATCTTCGGGATAACTATGACCTGGATGACTGAGAATCTCCATAGACATTTGGTTACATTCCATATTTACCTGTCGAAAATGTTGTTAACACTAGTTTACCTGTTTGTTGGTTCTGTATCAGAAAAAAGTTGATGCATTTTAATTTGATCTAAATAAAATTAATGTAATTTTCAACTCCCCCTATGAAATTCTTGCGTTCGTTAGTTAATTAAATGTTGGGCACCTAATCCTGTCTTATGTTGTTCATGCATATCTTGTTTCAAGATATGAAAAGAAATCAAAATCTATGACATTATCTGAATGGACTAAACATTGTTAGAAATAAAAGGGAGGAATACAAAGTTGGATTATTTGATCAAGGTTAACATAGCTATGTTGTTATATCTGGTAACCATTAATGAACTTTTGCTGACATCAGGGCTGAAATGATTATGCTTTATGGATTTGTTTATAGAAAAGAGATGGGATAGGGGAAGAAGAGTCATTTGTTGTATTTTAAGAGGTGATAAATAGTTTATACTTGTAATAAAGGTTGGAAGTCTTATTTTTCTTTACTATAATCTTTTCTTTTTTTGTTGTTCCTTTTTTCTTTCTACTTTTTCTATTATTAGATTAAGCAAGCAACTTTTCTATTGTATCTTTTATTTCTATTAGCTTTTACTATTGTAATTGTATCTTTGTAATCTTTGTTAAATTAATCAGTAGTTCTAGTTTCATAAGAATAATTTCCATCAACATAATGCACTGTATTTAGTAACAAAGATAAATTATTAAAGAATAGAAAATAAGATACCCAACTGAATTATTTGGAGGTAGTTAGAAATTTTTTTATAATTCCTATCCTTGATTGGTTTATACCCTTGGTTTTATATTTAATGAATATTTAATATTCTGAACTATGGTTTGAATTTTCTGAATTGTAATACATTTTTTACTTTCAGTTCAGCAAATGCCACTCCAGAATTTGAAGGACGTGGTGGTGAAGAACTTGGCACTGAGATCGCAAATACACTCTACAGGATATTTAATAATGAGAGCAGCATCGACTTGAAAACCCTTTGTATTAATCCCAGACAGCATTGCTGGATCCTTTATGTTGATGTCTTGGTAAGTAAGTAAGTTCTGTGTGAATTTAAATTAAATTTAAGCTCAAGAGCTTTGAAAGTCTAAATATTACCAAACTCTTGGATGCATTTATTTTATTTATAAGATTTTTTTTATCATGCCTTTATTACTTTTGTAAGTAACTCAAACCAGAACATACTTAATACTCCTTTCTCCATAGCAACAACAACCCTGTGCAGTGAGTTGGACTCAAACAGAATGACTTGATCCAAAGTCACCCAGCCAATTTTCAGATCTTCACTTTTTACCTCTCTTTTATATTCCTCAGTTGCCTGGGTCCTCTTTTTATTCTACCTTGCCTCCAGAAGTTGTGAATATTCCAACACTGGAAGTTTTTAAGAAGAGATTGGACAACTATTTGTCTGAAATGATATAGGATTTCCTGTCTGATCGGAGAATTGGACTAGAAGACCTCCAAGGTCCCATCCAATTCTGTTATTCTTTTCTGTTATTTTGTTACTGCTTAGAGAAATTTGGTATTTCTAGTTCCTAAATGGAACTAAACAGTTTGTGTTTCTGATAGCTCATGTTTATTATTATAATACAAAAACATGGTGGGATGAAACCCACAAATGGAACACACAGCTAGAGGGATTTAAATTATTTAAAAGAAACAGAACAAATAAAAGAGGAGGTGAAGTTGCTCTCTATATAAGAAATAACTACATCTCCACAGAAATATAGCACAACAATGACGAAAACTGTCTTGAATGCATTTGGGTCAATATAAAAGGGAGGAAAAAATGACATTGCCATAGGTATATACTATAGGCCACCCAACCAAAAAGAGGAAATAGATGAACTCTGCAGCAAGTGGAAGATCAAACAGATTCCTGACAAACCTAGCAGACAACTTTGTCTCCCAAAAAGTAGAGAAGGGAACTAGGGGATTAGCCATTTTGGATCTAATTCTCACTAACAGAGATGAAATGATAGAAGGTGTTGAAGACACAGGAATCTTGGGAGGTAGTGATCATGCAATATTGGAATTCAACATTATGGAAGCACAAGCAATAGAACATAGTCAAACTAGAGTCTTGGGCTTCAAGAGAGCTAATTTCAATAAACAGAGAGGGTTTGGGAAGGATTTCATGGATGAGAATCCTCCAGGGGAAAACAACGCAAGAAGCTTGGGAAATTTTGAAAAGCAAGATAATAGAAGCCCAGTCTAGCTCAATACCAACAAAGAAGAAAAATAACAGCTCTCAAAAGAAACCAGCATGGCTGCATAAAGAACTCTCTGACAAATTGAAAGATAAAAAGGACAAGTATAGAAAGTGGAAAGAGGGACACATAACTAAATCAGAATACCAACAAATAGCCCGAGCCTGCAAAGATGAAGTGAGGAAAGCCAAGGCTCAAAATGAATTAAGGCTTGCAACCAAAGTCAAAAATAACAAAAAAAGCTTCTTTCAACATGTAAAAAAATAAGAAAAAAGTGAAGGAAACGATTGGTCCATTAGTGGGTGAGAGTGGTAAGAAGGTGACTAGCAATAGGGAGAAAGCAGAACTATTTAACTTGTTTTTTGCATCTGTCTTTACACAAAGGGAAAAAACAGACGAACCTATCAAAAATAGCGCCATAAAAAACAGTATAGAAACACAAGCTAAGATAGGCAAGAAAATGATAAGTGAGCACCTGTCCAGTCTAGACGAATTCAAATCACCAGGACCAGATGGATTACACCCCAAGGTTCTCAAGGAACTAGCAGATGTGATCTCAGAACCACTGAACTATATTTTTCAAAGATCTTGGAGCACTGGGGAACTACCAGAGGACTGGAAAAGAGCTGATGTAGTTCCCATCTTCAAAAAAGGAAAAAAAAATGGATCCAGGAAATTACAGACATATCAGCCTGATCTCAAAACCTGGGAAGATTCTGGGAAAGATAATCAAACAACGAATCAGTGAACAACTAGAGCAGTGGTTCTCAACCTGTGGGTCGGGACCCCATTTGGGGTCAAACAACCATTTCACGGGGGTCGCCAAACAACACAGTCCACCATTTTTCCCCCCTTTCCTTAGCTGTGCTACTCCCTTTTATTCTATTGGCTTTTGAAAGCCAATAGAATAGACTCTCTTGAATACAGTCTAATTTTATTGGCTTTCAAAATCCAATAGGAATTGTCCAGGCTGTCTCTGCCCTACTGAGCCCGCCAAAAGTCCCATTCTGCAAACGGTGCTGCACCAGTTGAGTAGTCCTCAACTTACGACCGGTTGAGTAGTCCTCGACTTACGACCAGTTGGGGGTCGCGGCATTAAAAAGGTTGAGAACCACTGACCTAGAGGCAAACAAAGTCATTACTAAAAGCCAACATGGGTTTGTCAAAAATAGATCATGTCAGACAAACCTTATTGCATTCTTTGACCAAGTGACAAAATTAGTGGATCAGAGGAATGTTGTGGATATAATTTACTTGGACTTCAGTAAGGCATTTGATAAAGTAGATCACAACCCACTACACGATAAGTTGGAAAATGCGGGTTAGACAGCATCACCACCAGATGGATTCGTAGCTGGCTGACTGGCCATATTCAGCATGTGCTCCTCAATGGAACTGCATCTACATGGAGGGAAGTGTGTAGTGGGGCGTAGTGGCCCAGTGCTCTTCAACATCGTCATCAATGATTTGGACGAGGGGATAGATGCGGAACTCATCAAATTTGCGGATGACACCAAGCTGGCAGGAATAGCCAACACTCCAGAAGACAGGCTTAAGATACAGGAGGACCTGAACAGACTTGAACACTGGGCGCTATCTAACAAAATGAAATTCAATGGTGAAAAAAGTAAGTTTCTACATTTAGGCAAGAAAAACCAAATGTACAGATATAGTGTAGGGGGTACCTTGCTCAATAGTAGTAACTGAGAGGGATCTCGGAGTCCTAGTAGACAATCACTTAAATATGAGCCAGCAGTGGCTACAGCTGCCAAAAAAGCCAACACAGTGCTGGGCTGCATTAACAGAGGGATAGAATCAAGATCGCGTAAAGTATTAATACCACTTTACAATGCCTTGGGAAGGCCACACTTGCATCCAGTTTTGGTCACCACGATGTAAAAAAGATGCTGAGACTCTAGAAAGAGTACAGAGAAGAGTAACAAAGATGATCAGGGGACTGGAGGCTAAAACATATAAGGAACGGTTGCAGGAATTGGGTATGTCTAGTTTAACGAAGAGAAGGACGAGGGGGGACATGATAGCAGTGTTCCAATATCTCAGAGGCTGCCACGAAGAGGGAGTCAAGCTATTCTCAAAGGCTCCTGAAGGCAGGACGAGAAGCAATGGATGGAAACTGATCAAGGAGAGAAGCAACTTAGAACTAAGGAGAAACTTCCTGACAGAACAATTAACCAATGGAACAACCTGCCTCCAGAAGCGGTGAATGCTCCAACACTGGAAGTTTTTAAGAAGAGACTGGACAGCTATTTGTCTGAAATGGTGTAGGGTTGGTCCCTTCCAACTTTATTATTATCAATCATCGCACAGTCAGCCAGATGTTCAGACTGGATTTGGCATTTTGTCTACCTATCGAGTCCTTACCCAGGACCTGGGATAGGCAGATGTGGATGTTTGATGGTATTACAGGTATCGTCGCAGGATGGAAGCAGTTCCTAGTAAGGCCGCCTTTTGCAATTGACTAATAGCAAATTTGTCAATGCCAATGGTGTTCAAGTGGTGCTCCAGTTGTTTTGGGATTGCACCCAAGGAGCCTATGACTATTGGTACTACCCTTGCTTGCTTTTGCCACAGTCTTTCTATTTCTATTTGTAGGTCTTTGTATTTTGTTATCTTCTCCAGTTCTTTCTCTTCTATTCTGCTGTCTCCAGGCACTGCCACGTCCACTATCCAGACTTTTTTGTCTTTCTTATCGACAATTGTTAAGTCTGGGGTGTTATGTTGCAGGTGCTTGTCTGTTTGAATTCTGAAGTCCCAGAGCAGTTTAATTTTATCATTTTCTATGACTTTCTCTATTTTATGATCCCACCAGTTTTTGCTTACAGGCAAATGATATTTTTTGCAGATCTTCCAATGCACCATTGTTGCTACTTTGTCATGCCGCTGCTTGTAATCAGTCTGTGCAATCTTCTTGCAACAGCTTACCAAGTGGTCCACTGTTTCTTCAGCTTCTTTGCATAGGCGGCACTTACTGTCTGTTGCTGTCTTCTCAATTTTGACTTTGTATGCATTTGTCCTTAAGGCTTGGTCTTGTGCAGCCAGAATTAGTCCCTCGGTCTCTTTCTTCAATTTTCCTGCTCTTAGCCATTGCCAGGTTTTATTATTATCTGCTTTCCCAGCTATTTTTTTCATGTATTGGCCATGTAGTGCTTTGTCTTCCCATGCCTCTATTCTGTTCTTCATTTGGTCTTTCTTGTAGGCCAGTTTGGTCTCTCCAGTAGTTAGTAAGCCTTCCTGATATACTAATTTCAGTGCATCTTCATCATTGTTCTTCAGATATTCTTCCAAAGCCATTTTTTCTTCTTCAACCATCTGATGTACTTGTAGCATTCCACGCCCACCTATTTGCCTTGGTAGATAAAGTCTATCAATGTCACTGCGTGGATGAAGGGCGTGATTCATTGTCATTATTTTTCTGGTCTGCCTATCCATTGCTTTTAGTTCTGCTTGAGTCCAGTCCACTATTCCAGCTGTGTACCTAATGACTGGGATTGCCCAGGTGTTGATTGCCTTTATGGTATTTCCTCCATTGAGTTTGGATTTTAAGATCTTCTTCACTCTCTTGATGTATTCACCTCTAATCTTTTTCTTGACTTCAGTGTGCTTGATGTTGTCAGCTTGAAGGATACCCAAGTATTTGTAGTACTCTTCCTCATCCAGACTCTTAATGTTATTTTCGTGGGGCATCTTGATTCCTTCAGTTTTCATTATTTTTCCTTGTTTGATAGTAAGTGTGGCACATTTGTCCAAGCCAAACTCCATTACAATATCTTGGCTATATATACGGACAGTGTTGAGCAGCGATTCTATTTCAGATGATGTTTTTCCATACAGCTTCAGATCATCCATGTAAAGGAGGTGGGATAGTCTAGCAGATGTTTTTGATGTTTGATAACCATGTCCTGAGTTATTCAGTATTGTTGACAGAGGAAACAGTGCAATAACAAATAGTAATGGTGATAATGAATCTCCTTGAAATATTCCTCTCTTGATATTAACCTCTCCCAGCTTTTCACCATTGATCTGCAACTGTGTCTTCCATTGTGCCATCGATCTTTGCACAAATTTTCTGATGTTTCTACTTACTCCTGTTATTTCTAGGCACTTGATTATCCAATCATGTGGCAGAGAGTCAAATGCCTTTTTGTAGTCAATCCATGCCACATTCAGGTTGGTCTTCCTTCTCTTGCAGTTTTCCAAGATCATTTTGTCTATTAGGAGTTGATCTTTTGTTCCTCTGCTATTGGGGCGGTTTCCTTTCTGCTCAGGTGGAAAGAGATTGTTTTCAACTAGATGCTGTTGTACTGCATCAGCTACCACACCAGTTAGTAATTTGAAAGTTGTTGGTAAGCAGGTAATTGGCCTGTAGTTACCTGGTGTTGCCCCTCTTGCTGGATTTTTCATTATTAGGTAGGTTTTCCCAGTTGTTAGCCACTTTTCAATTTCTCCTCCTGTATTATTATTATTATTATTATTATTATTATTATTATTATTATTATTATTATTATTATTATTATTCACACAATCAGCCAAATGTTCAGATTGAATTTGGCATTTTTGTCTACCTATTGAATCCTTTTCAAGAACTTGGGATAAGCAGATGTGGATGTTTGATGATGTTAAAGGTACTGTCCCAGGATACAAGCTGTTCTGAGTAAAGCCACCTTTTGCAATTAATTGATGGTGAATTTGTCAAAGCCAATGGTATTCAAGTGGTGCTCCAGTTATTTTGGATTGCATCCAAGGCACCTATTACTGTTGGTATTACCTTTGTTTGCTTGTTGTTCTATTTCTATTTGCAGGTCTTTGTATTTTGTTATCTTCTCCAGTTCTTTCTCTTCTCTTCTGCTGTCTCTATGCATTGCCACATCCACTAGCCAGACTTTTTTGTCTTTCTTATCGACAATTGTTAAGTCTGGGATGTTATGTGATAGGTGCCTTTTGAATTTGAATTTTAAAGTCCCACAGCAATTTAGCTTCTTCATTTTTTATGACTTTCTCTATTTTATCATCCCAATGTTTCTTGCAGATCTTCCAATGCAGCATTGTTGCTACTTTGTCATGCTATTGCTTGTAGTCAGTCTGTGTGATCTTTTTTGCAGCAGCTAACCAGGCGGTTTACTGTTTCATCAGCTTCTTGGCATAGGTGCATTTGCTGTCTGTTGCTGTCATCTCAACTCTGGCTTTTGTATGCCTGTATTCTTAAGGCTTGGTCTTGTGCAGTCAAAATCAGTCCTTCTGTCTCTTTCTTCAACTTTCCTGCTCTTAACCATTGTTATTATTTATTTCTCCTGCTATTTTTAAATGTATTGGCCATATAATGCTTTATCTTCCCATGCCTCCATTCTGCTCTTTGGTCTTTCTTGTTTGATGCCATCTCAATTGCAGTGAAAGGAGCACTTGGTCACTCCAGTAGTCATTAAGCCTTCTTAGTATACTAAATTTCTTCACTGTTCTTCAGATATTCTTATAATCTTTTTTTCTTTTTCAACCATCTTATGTACTTGCAACATTCTTATTTGCCTTGGTAGGTAGAGTCTGTCAATGTCGCTACATGGATGAAGGGCATAATTCATTGTCATTATTTTTCTGGTCTTCCTATCCATTTAGTTCTGCTTGAGTCCAATCCACTATTCCAGCTGGGTATCTAATGACTGGAATTGCCCAGGTGTTGATTGCCTTGATGGTATTTCCACCATTGAGTTTGGATCTTAAGATCTTTTCCCTTGATGTATTCACTTTTAACCTTTTTTCTTGATTTCACTTTGCTTGATGTCAGATATTGACAACAGGTATGCCCAAATATTTGCAGTGATCATCTTTTTTCAAACTCTTGATGTTATTTTGTAGGGCATTTGATTCCTTCAGTTTTCACTATTTTTCTCAGTTTGATGGTGACCATGGCACATTTGTCCAGTCACTATTATTATTGTTCTTGTTGTTATTTTAAAAAAATCCAGGGAAGGAATGCACAGAATAATTAGCATTTAAAATTGAAGCCAGGAAATCTGAAGCCAGACTTTTTCAAACTATTATCTCTCAGCATTTCTTTTTTATATATATTTTATTAATTTTCCAATTAAGTATTTAAAAAGCAATGTGGTGGCTGGGTTAATCAATAGTTCAATAACATACAAAAATCTTTAGTACAAATCTCAAGTTACAACATCAAATATTTCCTCTCTTTTCCCCCTTAATAGCTACTATCTCGTATTTAAGCTAATACAGTTCTTATTATATCAATTAAGTAAAAACATCATTATTACATTTATCAATTAATTTTTAGCTTATACATATCTTAATTACTTCAATCTTTATAGACAGTCAATGTCCTGTTATTGATTTTTTCCCAATATTCAGATTTAACATTTGATATTTATAATTTCCAGGTTTTAGGTAATCAAAGTTTCCCTTATCTCAATTCATAACAGAATCTAATATTCAAAATACACATCTATTTGAATATAGTCTTGTTCTATTTCCTAAAAGTTATCTATTTCCCACCATATTAAATCATCTAATTAATAATAAGTATCTCCTTTAATAAATCAGAACCATTATATATATTGTCTGGGTTAATCAATAAATCAAACTTATTCATAATTTTTTTTTCTTTTGGGTCTAATTTTTAAATATTAAACAAATAGAATCCTTATTTTCAACTAATTTCCAAATATTTTAAATTTAATAACCAAAATTCTCCTTATCTCAACTTCTCCCTTTAACCCTCTAATTAGTAATATGAAATCCCCTCTAATAAATCAAAACCCCAATTTTCTTCAGCCTTATTCTGGCTTTCTTCCTTTGCCAACTAGCCTTCCATGTTAGTGCTTTTAGATCATCAAATAGATCTCCCTCTATTGTTATGTATATATTATTTGAAATAAGAGAGATCATTTAGTTGCCATTTTTGGAAGGGCTAGCTCATTTGTATTCATTAAATCTCTCCCTATTATTCCAATTCCCCATGATTGTCCTGATAAGTTTACCTTCCATTCAATCTGTTCTTCTTCTTTCTCAAATTTCTTCTGATTTATATAAAAAATCTTTTCCATTTTCAGTGTTGTCACTCCCTTTTCTGGATTTTCCATTAACTGTATTTGTTGAGTCCTCTGTGTTAGTATTTGATTGTTCCACTTCTTCTATTAGGTCTTTGGTTGTGGTCAGATTTTGGGTTTGTGTATCTAAGTTGGCATCTTGTTCTTTTATGTTGAGTCTTATTTTGTCACAAGCCGAAAGAATGGTTTCATATATTGCTTTCAACATGGAAAGGATCTTTTCCTGATCTTCATTCATATTCTGTTAATGATGTGCTAAGTTGAGGACTTTAAAATCAAACGTTAAAAATAATTTTATAACTAAGTATGGGACCTCTATTTCACATGTTTATAGGTAGTCTTTATAATAGAAGTCATTTGTCAAGTAAGATTTTATAGTCCAAGATATATCATCATCTCATGTAATAACCAATGTTCTTCAAATAAAGAGATAGGAAAGCAATTCCCCACATATAACTCTGAAAGTCAATAAAGGTTTACATTCAGAGTTCAAGCAGGCCAGTTATATCACCCCGAAGTTCTCTTTACAGCTGAGTTTCTCACAGGTGATATCTATGAAGGTCGAAAGACCTTTATCTGAAGTCTGGGCTTCAAGCCAAGTCTCTTTTAGGCAATAACAAGTTGTAATACCAAACTTTGACACAAGATGTCACCGATGACATCTTTAAGTCCAAAATTTTTATAATCGTTTTTCCAGTTTTATTTCTTTGTTGTAGATAAAAACAAAAGTCTCCAGTAAAAGTAAGAAAACTTTTGGTCCCCAAGTTTCAGAAGCATATACATCCAATTAGATTAAAATTATTCTTTTAGTGCTTTAACTCCTCTGGGTAGTCAGTCGCCACTGTTCTTAGAGGGTGGAGCAGAAATTCCTTTCCCTCTTTCCTCACAGGGGGAAAGATACTTTGGGCAGAAAAATAAAATACTTAGGATCTTAAAGAGAAGATCAGATCTCACCCAGTTTCATCCGTGTTGCTTTAGAAGTGCTTGATGGTAAGTTTGACTTCGGCTGTCTGCAGCTTACTAACGAGCCACATTGCTATGGCCGGTCTTTCCTCTGCCGTTTGGAGGGTTGCCCCAGATCAAGTGGAACGGCTGCCGCCCTCCCATTATCAAGCAGGGGTCCCCTCCTTGCTCATCGCCCCTACAGGGCAACTTTCGACCCTTTCCATGGTCCCCCAGTGGAACGAAATTGGACGCGGAAGACAGAGCTCGCCTTTCAGTGGCCGCGGCAGGCGTGATGGCAAACCGGAAGTCATCTGTCAGCATTTCTATCTATAAGACAGGAAAATATTTTCTTATCTTTCATGCGTTGTTTGCATATTACAAAGAGAATTATTTAAAGCAATTAAAGCATTCATAATATTTTTGTTCTTATTATTACCAACATCCCTTCTCATCCAGTTCAGCTTTTTAAAACTATATCTTTTAATACATTAAATGAAAATAACAAATTTTGTGGAAGTTTCTGTAATTATTCATGCTTTACCACCTTTGTGTAACTTATACATTTATATCAGAATTGTTATAAAAATGAGATGATGAAATCATAGCTTTTGGAATAGAAAATGATTATTAAAATGATACAATAATAATTAAAATCTATTTTCAAAATTTCAGTTATTGGAGTGTGGTGGTAACTTGTTTGATGCCATCTCAATTGCAGTGAAGGCAGCACTTTTTAATACCAGGTAAGGAACACATCTCTTTCAAAAGGCAGTTTCTGAGATATTACCTACAAACTAACCATTATTAGTTTGTAGACCAATATAGGAATAAAATTGAATATAGGCTTGAATAAGTACATCTTTCTTTGGGTTAGTTTTTTCTTGTACATGGATTTTCCTTTTCAATGAACTGTTTAGTGAAAGATTTGTAAAGCACATTCTGCATAAATGAGAGAGTAACTGGCAATAAGCCAGTTATATTTCTTGATCATGATTGTCAAACATTGATAGCATATTTTTATTCATTTGAAATGAAACACATTTATTAAATAGCAGTGTCAATTCTAAAATAAACATAGCTTAGTCTTTTTTTTTTAAGAACACATGCAACATTTCCCACAAAAACAACAAAAGTTTGAAATTCTAACCACGCCCATACGTGAAGGCCAGATGATTTGGAGACCTCATCTACTGAAAAATTGGCCAGCCCAGAAGGTTAATTTATATTTGTTTAGGAACATTTATTTACTTTTAACGAGCTAAAGTAGTTATCCAAATCCTGTAATTCTTTTGAGCTTTCTAGCTTTGCCAAATAGCCTGATTCAGAATACCTTGTCCTGTGTGGGTTTTTTCCACTATATTATATAAAAGCTCCATAACAGTTTGACAGATATTTGCAGGCTACTATTTCCAAATGCCTCAACTTTGGAATGAGTCCATATTTTGGCACTGTGTATTTTCTTCGTTACAGATTGTGAGCTGTTCTAAATTATATTTTTTTTGAAAGCTAAGGAGAGCAGAATATTTTCCAAGTTGATGACAAAAAGTTCTATTCAGGGCACAGATTAGTCTTTTGACATACTTTTTACTGACTTCAGACCTTTGATGTTACATTTTAAAAGTGATTAACACACAGCAACTAGCATGGTGCTGTTAAAAAGAATGCAGTGGTGAAGTATGTGTTTCATGAATTGCCAAACAATACTTTCTAAAATGTCCACTTTAAATTTGTACATCTTGGACGTCACCATGGCTAATGTGATACAGTCTGCAACCAAAATGTCTGAGAGTACTAGATTATGTAAAGTTATAAAAAGTGTGAAAGATTGAGTTACTACTTATGCCACTTTTCTCTCATTATAAAATAGTACCCGACACCTATTGCACCTAATATGTCAATGCAATAGATATTTCATTCTACATAAAAAGCTAGCAAAATAACATTAATTGATACATTATTAGATCACTGTTGCAATCCAATATTAAAGTAGGAAGCACAACACAACTATAAAATTATACACAAGTTCACTGCCAGATCAAAGATTCAAGGTCAGACGATGAACCTGAACTTTCAAGAGGAATTCTACCCTGTCCAGCCTTGAGTAAGAATTCCTGAACCAATGGTATTCCTAGCTTGTTTGACTTAAGCTTTATTACATATCCAATTCCTTAACCTCTTTGTAATGTGGTAAAAGTGGGAAAGAAAGGTTTAAGTATCACCTGCATATTGAGGGCATCAAAGCCAAAATCCTGAAGAATTGTCTTCAGTATTTTCTTATATAAACTTGAACAGCAGACATAAGATAGAGTGATGCTATGGGTTAATCTTCCCCAACCTGAGTAAATGTATTTAGTTAATGTATTTCATTTAGGAAAACCTAATGCAATAGTTGTAAGTATATGTCCTCTTTTCATCTATACATTGCAGGATGTGTCACCAAATGAAAATGCACATCTAGGGAAGATTATTGAAATTTACTGTGCTCATACAAAATAGTTAGTGTAAATCAGTACACATGGAATAGTGTGATAATGCTCCTCCTGCTGTGCTTATTAGAACTGTGTGGATAATTCAGTAGAGTGTCTGTTGAAATATCAAATTGCCTACAATTCTAAAGATTCAATACAGCAAATTTGTAGGTTAGTTGGCAAAGAAAGAAAGCCAGAGTAAGGCTGAAGAAAATAAGGATTTTGATTTATTAGAGGAGATTTCATATTACTAATTAGTGGGTTGAATATGGTGGAAAATAGATAATTTTTAGAAAATAAAGTAACATTATAATTGAAGAGTAAGATGTATAGCAAGACTAATAGACTTTGGTATGAAAAGGGAAAAAGGGAGAAGTTGAGATAAGGGAAATTTTGGCCCCCAGTATAAAATATCAGTTGAAAATAAGAATTCTGTTTGCCCAATATGAGATAATAGATATTACCAGAAAAAGAAAGGGAGTATTTGAGTTTTTAAAAATTAGACCTAAACGAAAAAAATTATGTATATTACTGATTTATTGATTAATCCAGACAATACATATAATGGTTTTGATCTATTAGAGGGTATACTGTATTATTAATAGATGGTTTAATATGGTGGAAAATAGATGATATGGAATCTGTATCTCCACTTCTTGCAGGAAGAAGTAGTTATTACTACAGAATGTAAAGTGGCACGTTCATCACTTTATATAATGGTTAGTTTATATAAACATAAAAGTAGTTGTAATTTATAGAAATTTACTTATTGCTTATTTACTTATTAGTTGGGAATTGGGTCAGTCCTACTTAACAAAATATACAGGGATATCATACTGTTTGATGGTCATTTCTGTTTTCTTTAGGATCCCCAAAGTACGTGTTTTGGAGGATGAAGGAGGACATGAATTTGAACTATCTGATGATCCTTTTGACTGTATTCGACTCAATGTTGATAATATTCCTTGTATTGTTACCTTAAGCAAAGTAAGCCTGTAAAAATTCAGAACTTTTCTTTTGATGCTTATTTTAAACTGAAAGTTATGCAGAAAGATTGTGTTGTGTTTTTTAATTGTGACCATAACTTTGGAAAGTTCTTGGAAACCATATACAAGGTGTTTTTCTTTCTTCTTCAAGTAGAGGAGAAGTATCCTTATTAGTCTTGAATATTGTTTGTTCCTTAAACATCTTTGGGAAGCAGATTATTTATGAAGATTTAGATATTTTATTACAAAAAATTAGGTATGCAGAAATTAGTTGCTTATGAAGCTTCAAATTGACCTTTTTGAGCAAATTATGTTGGGATTATTGCTGATCAGTGGTCTAAATTTTTCTGGCCTTTCCAGATTTTTTTTTTTTCAGTTCCATTTTTAAGTAATTAGTGCCTCCAAGAAGTCTAAAGTAAAAGGCAATATATAAATAAATGTAAATGTACTATAATTATGTTATATTTAAGACAAAGATAGAGAAGGTTTTTTCCTATTGAAAAACATTTTAACAGTACTTGCTGGGAATTGGTTGCTTGGGATAGCTGAAACCCAAGCCAGTGGTTTACAAGATCAGCGCCAGCAATGTGTGGCATGGCATTTTGCTCCATTCCTGTCATCATTTTTTACTGTCCAACCTGGCAAACTCAGGAAAGGAACAGAGGGTTTAGAGCAAAAAAACTCTTTTTGATGTTTTATATAAATACGTTATAATTACATTATATAAAATGTTCTTTATATAAATGCATAATTTCAGACTTGTTATAAAAGTATATACTGAGTTGGTTTCTAAAACAGATAGAAAATATTTTTTTAAAATAACTAAGTATAATTTATCTAGATTTTTAATTTTAAAACATAATTTTCATAATTATATAGTGAGAGAAAAAAATATTTGATTCCTCTGCTAATTTTCTGTTTGCCCACTGACAAAGAAATAATCTGTCTATAATTTTAATGGTAGGTTTATTTTAACAGTGAGAGACAGAATACAACAAAAAAATCCAGAAACATGCATTTCAAAAAAGTTACAAATTGATTTGCATTTTAATGAATGAAATAAGTATTTGACCCCTTCGCAAAACATGACTTAGGACTTGGTGGCAAAAGCCTTGTTGGTAATCACAGAGGTCAGACGTTTCTTGTAGTTGGCCACCAGGTTTTTCACACATCTCAGGAAGGATTTTGTCCCACTCCTCTTTGCAGATCCTCTCCAAGTCATTAAGGTTTCGAGGCTAACTTTTGGTAGCTCGAATCTTTAGCTCCCTCCACAGATTTTCTATGAGATTAAGGGGGAGACTGGTTAGACCACTCCAGGACCTTAATGTGCTTCTTCTTGAGCCATTCCTTTGTTGCCTTGATCGTGTCTTTTGGATCATTGCCATGCTGGAATATCCATTCACGATCCATTTTCAATGTCCTGGCTGAGGGAAGGAAGTTCTCACTCAAGATTTGACGGTACATAGTCCATCATCCCTTTGATGCAGTGAAGTTGTTCTGTCCCCTTAACAGAAAAACACAGCCAAAGCATAATGTTTCCACCTCCATGTTTGATGGTGGGGATGGTGTTCTTGGGGTCATAGGCAGCATTCCTCCCCCCCTTGAGGTGATGCCAAAGAAGCTGATTTTGGTCTCATCTGACCATAACACTTTCACCCAGTTCTCTGAATCATTCAGATATTCATTGGCAAACTTCAGACGGGCCTGTACATGTGCTTTCTTGAGCAGGGGGACCTTGCGGGTATTGCAGGATTTCAGTCTTTCACAGCGTAACGTGTTACCAATTGTTTTCTTTGTGACTATGATCCCAACTGCCTTGAGATCATTGACAAAATTCTACCGTGTAGTTCTGGGCTGATTCCTCACTATTTCTCATGATTGTTGAAATTCCAGGAGTGAGCTCTTTCATGGAGCCCCAGACTAAGGAGATTGACAGTTATTTTGTGTTTCTTCCATTTGCAAATAACATTGGAAGGAAATATCCTCACTATCAAAATATCAACAATATTCTAAAAATATTTTTGATCAAAGTAGTAATAAACTAATATAATAAAGAATTAATACTCAAGCTAATGAATTAATGAAAATGTCTGGGAGAATAAAAAGAAGATTGTGTAATATTAAGATCATTCATGAATTTACCTGGGAAAAACATCACAATGGGAATGAAATAAGATTTTCTGTCTATTTGCTAATTTTCTATCCAATTGCTATCTTTTCACCTTGAATTACAGGGTCATCTAACAAAGGAGTTTGAAGATAGATAGATTGATATGAAGGCATAGAAATTACTTCCTTTTTTCTCTCTGTCTTCAGGTTGGATTTGACTCCTGATAACTAAATAAACAAGTTCATGTGGTTTGTTAGGCAGCATTTTGAGAAGTGATTTGTCATTGCCATTATAATAAAAAAATATTCTCTGAAATTGTTGCTAAAATTGGAGAGCAATGCACACCTAATTGAAATTTAAATTGATTTATTGACATAGTTTACCAGAGACAATGAATGTCATCTAAAGAAGGGTGAGGTTACAAGGTTGAGAGTGAATGACTAATCCAAGATCACCTAGTTGGTTTTTATGCCTAATGCAAGACTAGGCTTCCTGTTTCCCCACTCCTAGCTCAGCAGCTTAATCACAGTGCCGAACCGACTCTCAAACAGACTGTTTTAATACTTTGGCATTGTTAGCAGTACTGCATATTCTTGGGAATATATATTTTATGTTGATCCCGAAGTGAGTAGGAAGTTTCTTTTTATTTGACAGCTCTATACAATTTTAGTCCTACTCAACATTCAGTACAGATGTAGTAAAGAATATATGCCTTTGTTTTCACAGATTGGCTATAGGCATGTGATCGATGCCACTCTTCAGGAAGAAGCATGTTCCTTGGCTAGCCTCCTTATTTCTGTAACAAGTCAGGGTGTTATCACTTGCATGAAAAAAGTAGGAAGAGGGAGCCTTGATCCAGAGAGCATTTTTGAGATGATGGAGGTAAGCAAGCACTGGACAGATAATTAGATTTAAAATTACAGTACGAATTCTGAGAAAATCAGAAGTAAATCTTAAAAGTTGGAACCACCAACCTATCTTACTTTAAGATCTAACTTTCAAAAATGCTTACATTTGCATGCACTCTTTATATTTATACTGATACTCCCTCATTTGAACAACATTTAGAGTAAAATGTTATCAATAATTCTCGTTGTTCTTCCTCCTTTGAGATAATGATGCATTTAAGAATCAGGAACAGTCTGCCTTGCGTTTTTTGTTAAAGTTATAAATGTGGGATAAAAATCAAATAAATAAATAATACAGTGAATTAGAAAAAATATTGTTCCAATTGCCTATCATGAGAAATATAAAAAAATTGACCAGTTTGTAACGGTTTCATTGTTCACTCAAGTGCAGTATTGGACTCTAGTGGCCTTGAAGCAAACAATAACTTCATCCATATGAATAGATTTGTGGTTTTTTTTTTCATGAATCCCATATGTTTAGAAACATTTAACATACAAACTTCATGCCAGCTTTTATTTATAGTAGCAATTCATTGCTATACTTTTTGACTTTATTTTTATTAATTTTTCCTACTTCTTAATGTACTTAAATTATATAGAAGAGGAAATTTCCAAGTTTGAAAAACACTGCTCTAGTGGGAATTTAAGATATTTTACGACATTATTCTACTATATATTTTCTTCATATTCTTCCTTTCTGGCTTATGGCAATTTTTTTCATCAGCTATAGACCAGACAATGCCTCCTTCTGCCTTTTGTTTCACATAATAGTAAATGAGGATCTAAGCCTATTGTGGTTGTCAGTCAAGAACTACGTATAGAATAATAAGCCCAAAAGTGATTAAGGATGGCTCTTACAAACACATAATTTAATATATAATTTCTTTGCATTTTATGTTTTATTCCAATGAATTAATTTCAACAGAATAACATATCTCAGTTGTTGATTTGTAAAGATAATTTTTTAGTGAATTTTGCTTGTTTTAATTCACTTGTGTGGTTTTATATAGTTTATTTTTCATTTGTATTCCAGACTGGAAAGAGAGTAGGTAAATTGCTGCACACCTCCTTGCAAGCTATCTTAGATAAAGAAGAGAGTCTCGGAACAGCACGAAAAAAAGTTGGATTTTTGGGATGAGTGCAATCATCACCTTCAATGAGCTGAATTTTTACTTAAAAGTGTGTGTTTATTGGTTTGTTTGTTTCTACAGAATTGAATATATTTTAAATAAAGAAAGGATTAGTTATGTAAACTTGTGTTAAGCGGATCTTAAATATTTACAACAAAATCAAAGAAATAATAGTTCAACTCCACAAAAATGTACAAATGCCATTTCTTTTTAGTTCACCCTATAAAGTCCAAGTGTTGTCAACAGTTTCTGCATGGATTTGTTCATTTGATGTATTTTTTCTTGTTCTGTTTCAGATTCTAACACTGTTTTATATGGTATATCAACTTTTGTTTTATATTCAATTTCCAATATTTTTATTGTTTTTATTTTATGCTTTTTCATTTTTGGAATTGACACTGAGTACATAAATACTTTTAATAATAGGGTAAGTATAGTAAATTCTTGGTTCTGCATTGCCTAACCTCATTTTGACCCAGGGATTTGTGGTGGGCAGAGCACAAATAGAGTAACAGACATTTATGGTCATAGGATTTATCCTGTGTTAATCTTAGATTTTCTGAAATCTACCCAAATGCTGTATGGAGAAGTGGACTGATGTTGAAGACATCAAATTTGAATGCTTCAGAATGAATAGTCTGGTCTGTCTAACAGAAATGATGGGTATGTTTCTCCAAATTGCTCATAGAACTGAAATTATTGTCTGACCCATAATTAGGCTTGTTTATCATAGCAGCTATTGCCATAATGGGTAGTGGAAATTTCCATGTGTGGCTGTGCAGTTATTGCCACGTTTTCATTGTCATGTATCCAGTACAGCAATAAACCGAAACATCTGTCAAGCAAAAATCTCAGGCTTTGTTCCATAAATATTTAATTTCTCTTGGAATGCAGAAGCCTTGTACATAAGCCCAGAAATTCAGTAGTTCATTAAAACTTAAGAAAAATTAAAATATCCTTTTCAATAATTAATAATTGCTTTGTCAGAATCTAATCAAGATGACATGTTTCTGAAAGGCTACACATAAAGGCTAATGAAGATGACCATCCTTTTCTTGAAAAAAATGTGCAGGTTTTAGTTTTAAAGCAATTAAACTCAAAAGATTTGTCTGTAAATATGAAATCGTTCTTTAAGAAACAAGTCAATCTGTATATTTTATGTTAATATAGATTTATATGTATTCTGATATACTGATTAATTACTGGTTGTGTTGAATCAAGTTGGTATCGACTTTTAATGACCATATAGACTTTCTCTAGGATCACCTGTCCCCAACCTAGCTCTTTAGGTCTTCCAAGATGACACCCATTGCCATTGTAATCAAATTAACCACCTTGCTACTAGTTGTCCCCTTTTTTTTCTTCCTACAGCATAGGCTTCTCCAGAGAGCTATGTCAATGCCCAAAGTATGATAAATTGAGCTAGATCATTTATGTTTTAAGTGAAAATTCTGGATTGATATTTTCTATGATCCATTGTTTGTTTTTTTATTTAATCCATGTAATTCTCAGAAGTCTACACAAAGTATCATTACTCTCTTTTCTTTCTTGCTTCTTCAAAATTCAAATTCACTTCCATAGAGTATCACAAAGAAAACCATTGCCTGCATTATTTTGATCCTTGTAGATATTAACATTTTCAGCATATAACAATCTCTTCCAAGACCTTCACTGCTATGCTACCAAGTGGTAGTTTATGGCATATTTCTTGACTGTTGATTCCTATATGGTTGCTAGTCAATCCTGAAAGGCAGAAGTTATCTACTACTTCAATATTTTGATTTCAATTCTGAAGTTGGTTGTTTTCTCCTAGTTTTAGAACTCTGAGTTGGTGTTTTGGGTAAAGGTAAAAGGGACTACTTCATTTTGTTATGTACTCAGTCGGGTGTAATAAGTTGGGTAAATCGAAAGCAATTAAAAAGAGTACTAATATTTGGAATAGCAAAAGATCATAATCAACAACACCTTAATCAATTCATCCCCTTCAAATGCACATGTGATCTGTCAGTCAAGCTAAAAGAGGGAGATTCTCTCTCATAACTCCCCTACATCTAAAATTGATAGCAACTTCAAAGAAGTAGCAGTCATAACAACACCAATCATAACCAACAGTACTCTGAACAGAATGGGACAACTCGCCGCAGCCAACTCGCCATGGCTAACTCTCCATGGGCCAACTCACCACAGGATAATTCGACAATTTAATTTAATCATTTAAAATAATTTTTAAAATAGTTTAGTTTTTGTCATTCACATTTCATTTAATCCATCCTTTGGCACCTTTTCTTTAATAATTCTATTCCATCATTTCTTCGATATTAGTGTAACTCTTGTCCCACAGCAAGTTGTCCTGCAGTGAGTTGGCCATTGTGAGTTGTCCCATGGCAAGTTGGCTGTGATGAATTGGCGACAGCAAGTTGCCCATAGCGAGTTGGCCGTGGCAAGTTGCCCTAGACTCTGGCAGAGAAGCTCAGATTGAACTTTTTATTTCAAATTATGCTCTTCCACCACACATCTTTCCTGTCAATTGGGCTGCTATTAGCTTGGGGGCACAAATTTGTATCTTTCCAAATGAGTAGTATTCATGTGTTTAAATCCCATAGGACTAGTAGTCTTCTAGAAACTTAGCAGAATCAGTTTCAAAAATCCCTAAAGTGACAGTTACGTGCATTGGTGATCTGACATTCAGGCTACTTGAAAGGTGTCTAAAGCTATCTTGGGAACATGCCCAGAATCACCCAAGCATGCTTCACCAATGTTAATACAGTAAATAGCTGAACAGAGGAATCTATCAAGCGTGTAAATTGTGTTTAAACTGTTACTCATTAAAACTATAAGTACAGCACCAGTCTTGTCCCTGAGGCAAAACATATTGGCTTTTGGGGTGGCACAATTGATGCACAGCTATCAAAGTAAGGATGAGAATGCAAATTAACATGACAATGAAGAACAGCCCTAAGATGCCACAGGACTTTGGAATTTGTTTGAACTTATTTATGCTTGGTTATTTCATTTTTTTAATTTGTTTTTATTTTGGATATTCACTGAATTTTGCTAGCCTGAATGCTTCTACTGAACAGGGAAACTCAATTAGAAATTTTAATAACAAAAGAAATGTATATGATCTGTTCATAAAAGCCCACCTACAATGGTTGGTTTATAAGCTGGGCAGAAGCACTGTATTGGGACTGTGAAATAATGGAAATAAGTCTTGTCAGTCTTGGTTGTAATTTGCAAATTTTAAAAAGGCCCAGAAAAATAAAGAAGTATTCCACATATACGCCCCTTCCTGCTTACTTGGAAAGCCTTTTAAGATACTGGATCCCTCCCAGAAATCTGCAAAATAACCTCTAGTTACTGGAACATTACAGGAGAAATTGGAACTGTTTCTTGGCCAGACAGTTTTGGTTAATTCCATGTTAAGAAGCTTGGCTCTAGGCAGACCAAATCCAGTTTTGTTCCACTCTCTGAGGGCAGCAGCAGCAAAATGCCATTCCGAGGAATTTGTCTTTTAGTGTGTCTTATTTGTGTGACACAAATAGCAGCTCAACAAAACACCAGACCCAAGAAAAAGCCAGACCCAAGAAAAGGTAAGAAGCCAAGAAGTATCTATTTCATTGTGATCTTTTTATTTTGCAAAATTTGGTTTGGTTAAATTATTGTTTTATATATAGAGATAGATATATATGTTGCAGGCAATATAGATTAAAATTGCAGCTGAGTGTATGATCAAGTCATAATATACTGAACTATGGTTATTGTGTAGACTAAAAAGGATTTATTGTATCTGCTTGAAAATAAATGAAACTCAGATTCTTCTATATCTGCAAATCTGTCTTTAACGCAATTAGGCAAAGACCTATTTAATGTATTTGATGTTGCAAAAGAATAGGATTTGAGCCTGCAGTGCTTGTTCCTGGGGAATAATGCATACCACAAATCTTTTGTTTACAGTCTGGTCATTTTGTGCTGTAATGCAGGCAGATAGAGAATTTGTTTGGATTTCAATCTTATAAATGTGCAATAAATAGTGAGACTTTTACAGATCCTTTATTGAAATGGTCATGTATTATTTTGTATACATAATCTATATGCACATAAGATTGTTATATTGCTTTCTTATTCTTCTCTCTTTGCTATTTTATTTTTTCACCCATTCTGATTTATTAAGTAAAGAAAGCTCAAAACATAAGGAGATGTAAACCAGATTATGTTCTAATTTCTAACTTTTAGGGAATTCCAAATATGTTTTTGGTAACTTCAAAATACATTATTTATCTTGTTTCCCAAATGTGGCTAGTTAACTTCTTTGTTTTTCTCCAGATAACCTGGGCATATACCAGAATGTCAGGAATGTGGATGGTGCCTAGGGGATTTTTGCCCTTGCATGACTAAAATATATTTATTCTTGATTTGAAGAAACGTACATTCTTGGGATTCATTGACAGTATGGGTATGAACATGACTGAAAACTTCCTAATGGGCTATAAAAATTAAATGTAATTTCTAAAGCTTTTTTCCCCAAACAATAAGATAGATAATGTGGTTCCAACCATTGGAGAATCCAAGTATATCCCAAACTTATATAACCACATCCAATTAACATGTTGAACATTTTTGGAAATACTGATTGGAAGTGAAACCTTAGTCAGAAAACTCAGTTAAATTGTTTTTAAGTAAAGAAAATGACTTTTAGTGTTTACATTAAGATTTTAAAATCTTAATTTGATGGCATCTGGTATAGGAAACATCTGATATAGAAAAACATGACTTTGAAGTATGTTGCAAATGATTTGCAAATGGAATGGATAGGGGCATAGCAAAACTTCATCAGTTTTGCATATTCCACTCTTCAATACATCCAAAAACCAAGCTACTGTGCTAGGTGATTGAGCATTGGAATTTGGTGATGTGATTGCATGAGTATCCAGAGTGTCAGAAATGGGTCCTAGGGCTGTAGTCTGTTTATTTTATTTATAGACCTTTACTTGGTTAACCAGCAATAGAAATGTAAGACTTGAGGAAGAATAGGTGTATTCATTTATAGTGAGTTGGTGCAGAGGTACACTGAACAACAGACCTGTGGAGATCTCCACACTGAATACTTTCCTGACCATTCAATAATTAGCAATTATATTAATTAAACTGAAATACTAGAATAGTTCTACATATAGAAGCAAGAAGAACACAGTTTAAAACAAGATGGATATTGTGATGACTATAACTAGCTATTAAACTGAATTTGACTAGTGCCTAAAGAACTATTAGCACTGATACCCTTCTCATATGCTTTTTAATTTATAAGGCCCTTTCAATTCTCATAGTGAACTACAAATACAACATGACACAGAGATGAGTTGACCTTGTCACTTTATTATGATAACATTAAACCAAATAGCCAAGTTTGAGGATATTTACAGTATTTCAAAACTGTCCTTTATATATTCTCTCTCAAAAGTTTCTCTTCTACAAGTCCATAATGAAGGAGAATGCCTAGGAAAATTCCAGATCACTGTGGGGGGCAAGTTTTTATATATGATTGTTGATCCTCCATCAGAACCAATTAAGTTACTATGTTTTCGGTCTGTTTACAGTACATAAAAGTGAATTAGGAGCTGAAGTTTCCTGTAAGTCTAGTTAATTAGAGACTACTAACTTCTTCCTCATTATGAGATTGTGAGTTACATAACAGTAAGCCCCACTTTAGCTATTGTGCATCAGTAGATTAGATGTAATTTGAAGCCCAAGGGAGTCATATTGTGATTTAAAACTTGTGGTAACCATAAGTAACATACATGTAAACAAGGTTTGATTTACACAAGAACCTTGAGTTTTACAGTCTGCAGAGTTATACAGTGTCATAAATGGAAGGAAGAAAATTAAATAATTGTACATGATGTATAATATACCACTAAATGGGAGTGGTCACATGAGAAATATAAAGTTTTGATGAATAAGAAGAAATAGTATAGAACATATGCAAGGAACTAGGATTGCTGTTTTTTTTTAGTTCATTCTTTTAAAAACTGAAGTAAAAAGAGAGATATTTTGTTTTTTGTTTCTGAGGCATGGAAACATTTTCAGTTGCTAACTTTATAAAACAAATATGAGTATACAAATTTAGGACAAATACACATAATTCTTTTTTTTTTCTTTTCACTTGAGGATACATCACCATAGAGGAGGAAGTTCTCATTCTACCATCAGTTTGAATGTGCAGTTATTAGTTGCAAACACATGTTATCCTTTATCTTGTTACTGACTTAACAGATGCTGTAAGCCTCAGAATGATTGAAGAACTTAAAGAGCAACTGGAGAATCTTTCCCAGGAGGTAACCTTACTAAAGGAAAAGCAAGCACTTCAGACAGGTATAAAATCCACCAGTCCTAACTTTCTTAAATCACAAAATTGACTTGGTTGTGGAACAAATTAAAAAAAAAACCAGATTTTATTTCAGGAGGCCCCAAATTTTTGGAGTAATGGACATATTTGCTATATTGAGTGGATTCATGTATGTTTTCTGAAAATGGCTGTTGCATTGTTTGGGGCTAATTAAAAAAAAAATCCCATAAGTGTTTGTTTAAAAATTGAGCATAAATCAGAGATGGCTTTATGGTTTCCAAAATGTTGAAACATTCTTTAACTCTTAGTATTCAACACTTACACCAGATGAAAACACTCAGAGCAAAAAAATTACATGAAAAACAAGCAAATTTCAAGTAAACGCCTTATATTGCCATACACATATCATTCGTAATTATTCCTTTTCCTTATATCATTTACAAACCTATTGCTTGTGCAATATGGGTGGTGTGTGAAATTTCTAGGAACTCCATAATATGTTGATATGGATTCAGAACTTGATGCTCAGAACTGCCCTTTAGTACTTTAGTAGTCCCTAGTCCAGTGGTGGCGAAGCTATGGCACACATGCCAGAGGCGGCACTCAGAGCCCTCTCTGTGGGCATGCACGCAATGCCCCAGAGATGGCAACTGTCCCTCTTCAACCAGCCGCCCACTAACTCGCCAAGGTCCCACATGGCCGGGGGCATCCCAGCACGGCTGGTTTCCCTCCCCCCTGTCCCATCCCTCCTGGCCTCACATGCTCTCCTTTTCCCCGGCACTACCCACTGCATCGCCTCCTTGGCTGTTGGCCATCTATCCAGCTCAGAGGTGGCTTCTCTGAACTTCTGGTTGCAGGCTGTGGAGCCCCAGAGTGCACCGGTTGAGGGGCCGGCAGGCTGTGGATGCTAATAGACCTGTTGGCCCCCATGCGCTCGCTGGCCTCTGTGTGCGGGGCCGATGGTGTCAGGCAGCAGCCGCCCTGGCCCCTGCCTCGCCTTGCCCTGCAACAATAGCAGCCCAGTCCTGCCTCGTCTTGCCTCACCTAACCCCGCAGGACAAGCCTCCTGCCCACTGCCCCACCTGCCAGAGACCCCCTGGATCTCCCCAAATCCTGCCCGGCCCCCACAGGCATCCCTCCCCATGAGCAACATCAAGGTGACCATGCCCACCTTGGCCACACCCACCCAGTCTGCCATGACCACCACAGCCATGCCCACCCAGTGGGCTACGCCCACCTGGCACCCGGTGATAAATAAGTGGGTTTTGAGTTGCAGTTTGAGCACTCGGTCTCTAAAAGGTTCGCCATCACTGCCCTAGTCCCTGGTCTCAGTTAAGGCCCACAATTATTTAATTGTCAATCATAAAAACTCTAAATAAGCAAGTGATTTGGGGCCAAAAGCAAAAGTTGTTGACACTTTATTCACATAGCATTAATTATTCAAAGCAACAGAAAAAAAGAAAACATGAACCAAGGATCTGCTGAACCAAAAGGCAGACAGGAAAAAAATTGAGTCATCATCCGTAGAAATGGCTCAGGAGCAGCACAACTGTCTAAAGCACCTCTCTACTAGAGGGATGCCATCACCTTCTAGCTGGCAGAGAGAGGGATAATGTTCTTGGTGAAACATAAAACGGCGAACATTACATGACCAAACTATCTGGATTGCTAAACATTTCATCTGTTCCTCTTCTTGTGCCAGTTAGACTCCTTGCAAACAAAATTATTATCTGCAATTATACACTGAATGTTTGCCAATGATTGTGTGTCAGGGTTTCCCTGAAAAAAAAAAAACTATGGGCATACCATTTCTCATTATGGAAAAGTCCTTCAGTATTTGCTTCTTGACCCAGCAGCTTGGAGAGGGCTTAATATATTCTGCTAGCTGTTGTTGCTGTGGGGAAAATAGGTGGCAGGAGTGTTTATAAAAAGATGGATTAAAAGTCCTCATGGATGGTATTCTTTTTTGGTAATAACTTGTTTCTCCCTTTTTTTCTTGTTTTTATTAGTTTGTCTGAAAGGTACCAAGATCAACCTAAAATGTGTCCTGGCTTTTTCCAGTGCCAAGACCTATCATGAGGCCAGTGAAGACTGCATTTCTCAGGGTGGCACCCTCAGTACACCACAGACAGGTGATGAAAATGATGCTCTCTATGACTATGTGAGGAAGATTCTGGGGAATGAGGCGGAAATTTGGCTTGGCATCAATGATTTGGCAGTGGAGGGAAAATGGGTGGACATGACAAGCAACAGCATTAGCTATAAGAATTGGGAAACAGAGATCACCACCCAACCTGATGGAGGGAAGCAAGAAAATTGTGCAGCATTGTCTGCAGTGGCTGTGGGAAAGTGGTTTGATAAGAGATGTAGAGATCAGTTACTCTATGTGTGCCAGTTCATGATTGTTTAATAGAAAGATTCGTCTCTGGGAAGGTTTAATCAGTATAGTCCATTGATCTCTGGAGTTTTGTGTGTGCATCTGTTTGTTTGCTTAAACATAGACATATGGATATTTACAATGAGACATACATGTGTACACACATTTAACAGAAAAAGTAATGGCAATGGATTAGAATGAATTAGATCTATGTTGCACTTTAATTGGTTATAAGCTACATCCTATTTGTTAGAAGCAACATTATTCTTGCTTAGGTACAAATCATAAATATCTATATTTTTACATTCAGAATTTATTACAAAGACTTCACTTTGGGGAACATTCAGACTTTGTGCCAAAATCTCAATTTATTGTTGCATGCAATTTTTCTGCAGTCTTTTTTTTTCTGCTAATTGCACCAAATTAAAGTGGCTTTTGTTAAACTGTCCCTATCTGTTGGACTAAATAGTTAAATAGTTCATCTGAAGATTTCAGCACAGAACTCAAAAGTAAGCAGAGCTGCATTAATATGTGAACAATAAGAAAAGAAGCAACAAAGGAACTAACAAAAATATTTTACCTGTTTTGCTAAAATTTCTAAGTTGCCTACCTGTATCTCTTCTACAATTTTCTTCTGGGCATATCTAGATTAAAAACATTAGGTACAAATGAAGAAAAAGTAAAATAGGAGAAGAACTGACCTACTGCTGTAAAAAATTGTACCAATGCTTGGAAAGGAAAAGAAAAGATTTCAGAAGGTTGCTATAGCACCAGTCTTCACCCAAGTAACATGGTCATTGAGGAGGGAAAAGGGCTCCCATAGAAACATTAGGGAATCAGTCGTCAGCTTGATTCTGACTATGGCTCTTGATAATTGTATTTCCTTATTTATATGTAGGATTTATTTCCATTCACAAAGGAGAACATTTTTTCATCTGTTGAAAAGTATTTGACTGAGTTTCCCCATTTATTTGAATAAAAAGGATATCTATTGGCAAAAGTACAGTGTTTGAAAATGCCTCTAGTATTTTTTGGATAAGTATGTTGATTTTCAATCCAATGGCTCATTGGAAAGAAATTATGTAAGAGAGCTTGGACTTGGGCTGTCTGTCAGTGCAGTAACTTTCTGAAGATGGAATAGTATGGAACCAAATTTGGTGTGGCAGAGAAACCATGAAAACAGATACTATACTTGAAAATTGGCCAGATTGGTCTTGGGGCTTCTAATACATTCCTGGAAACAAGCAGTTGGCCAGTTTTTCTCTTATGTGATCTAGAGCAGACACGTGCAGTTTTAATTGGGGAAAGTTGTAAACCTAATTTTCAATTTTTAGATCCCCACTTCTGTACCTTTATGCATTTGGGACAAAAGACTTGGAGAGAAACACTAGTAGGTTATTAGGGACTCCAATCATGAGTATACTTGTTCTGGCACTTAGGAGCCCTTCAGCTTTGCATGGCAAGTGCACAGATGTTTGACCTGGAGCCTTTGCACATCACTATGCGTACTCCTTCTCACTGTATGTCCATTTTCATTAATTCAAATGTCCGAGTAAATCTATGCAGAGTTATATTATATTGCCTGTTGTATTTTAAAAGAAAGGACTGCTGACTATGGAAAGAGCTCACTTACGGCTGAAACTTATGGTGGAATGGAATGCAAAATTGTATAATGCTCTGTATTTAGCTGGCACCACCCATGAAATAAAACTCTGCTGCATGAAAACAATTCAGGTTTCCATCTCTTCTGTAATACCCCCCACATAAATGTAACACTTATAGCCCATTAGTCAGATCCCATTAAAACCAGAACAACCAATTAATTATTAATCAGGCCTCACTAATGCTAGTAGGACTTAGATCTATATCCTGGAATTCACAGGTTGTGAAATTAAAATATGCCAATGTGGCTATCTGGATTTAATTTGTATAGCTTGATTTATTCAAAATATTCAAAAACAAAATCAAGAGCACTCTAGCAAAGGTAAGATTTTTCCAGCATAGAGGTTTGTACGTGTATCACAAAATCTCATTTCATATATTTTTATAAGTCCTTATTCATTAATCTAACTTTTAATATTTGGGCTTTTTGCACCAACTCTCTAGCAGCACATATCACAGCAATGAAAACAACTATGGCAGAAAATTGAAACACATGTAGAATTGTGCAATCAAATTATTTAGACAAAAAGTATGTGAATTGAGCTTCTGAGCAATTATCAAAGGTACTTTCAATCAGCAATTTATACAAAGCATATGATTTCAATATATCTGCAAATCAATGATTTTAAAGTATTGAGCAAGTGAAGGGGAATGTGTCTATCAATTTTTTTGATGCAAAAACTCAAGGCTAGAGTTTTAATAAACTTATTCAACTTATTTGTATTTTGTCATCTTTTTAATTCATATCAATTCCTACAATTGTAGTATGCTCATATAAGAATACTCACTGATCATGTGGTAAGAACACCTGTTGTGTTAATGTTATTGAGACAAAGCTTTTCACTATCCTTTTATTGTCATGATGGACATCTCAATATTTTCAACTGAGCCAGACTTCTCAAACAGCTCTTGATCCTTCCTATTTATGCTATTCCTACACCTAAGAGGTTTCTGTCTCTACAAGCCACACAGGAGAAGAAAGGGCCATGGAAGAAAAGATGTAAAGAGAAAGATAGAAGCTGGTGGCCTTTTGGGTGGGGGGGGGAGAAGTAGTTTCTGGGCCTTGTCTAAAACTCTCTTAATACTCCAGTCATCTCAATAACTTGAAAGAATTAAAATGACAGTTTTCCTGAACAGGTAGATTCCAACTATTCAACACTGACCTTGGCCAGTATTTTAAAGCACTCAAAATCTTACTATTGAGACAAATGATAGACATAACATCTGCATCTCCAATCCTATATGTGGGTTAATGATTATGCCAGCCTTTCGTTCAGATGTGTTAAAAGTACAAATTGTAAATTTCTAATTAGCATGGCCAGTTACTATGATGATTGGGAATCTGAAAATTCTGGGAACTGTAGATCAAGTATTTTAGAAAGATGCCATGGTAGGAAAGGCTACAGAATTAATTGTTTTTGATTAGCAGCATTTAGGTTTCACCTGAGGAAATCTGAGAATTTAGTAACATTAAAATATAACTAGCTTCTGTGGAGAGGGGAGAGGGGAATGCTCTGTAGAGCCCTAATACCTGAGTTTGTCTTAAGTTCATCTGGTCTATAGTATATAGCAAGGAAACATTGCTCAGAATTTGTTAAGTGTGACAGCAAGATTGCCATTTGATGTCCTGTAGTGAATGGCTTTACAGGACTCTGATGAATGGTTGGTAACAGAAAATTTAACAACTTGATTAATGCTGACACTAAAAGCATATGAACAAGAACCAGCAGTAAAAAACTGATGTGGAAGACAATAATTTTGAGCTCACAGTCCCTGCATCCCTTCCCCACAAAAAGTGATTTCCAGAATTTTAATTCTCAGCACTAGTTTGCACTCACTTAACATTTTGAAATTGTTTTACAACAGAAAGCAGAAGGGAGCCCTTGAAAAAAATCAAATATATCCTAATTAAAATTAAGATCACTGTGTTTTATGCTGTATTTTTGAAGCAGCCTTTGGAAATATTGGCTGATGTAGAATGTTATAGAGCAGAGGTCTCCAGCCTTTCTGGGCTTAAGGATCGAAGGGAAGGAGAGCAGCTTCAAAATTGGTATGCGTGCGCATGCGTGCACGCACATGGCCATGCACACTGGCGTGGCACTAGCAGCCCTGTTCACACATGCGGCATGCACTGGCGCTGTGCGCATGTGCAAATGGCCATGCACCTCCCACGGCAGCTAGCGGCCCTTTTGTGCATGCACAAACGGGCTGCACAAACCACCCAGGCTAGTATCCCCAATTGCACCCACACATGTGCAAATGGGGCTGCAGGGGAAATGTGTGCCCACGCGTGCACGCACAAGCTAGCTGTTTGTGCAGCCCGCTGGCCAAGGGTCTGTGGCCCAATCCTGGGCCACGGACCATAGGTTAGGGACCCCTGTTATAGAGCATTATATAGATTGATGTTGGGAGCTCACAGCCAAGGATTTTGCTGCCATATTGTAGCCCGCTCTACTGCTTATAGAGAAGCCAGCTAAACTGATAGCTGACATTTCTTCAGCAAGGCTCACCACTGAATCTAAGGGTAGCATGTTGGATTTGTATTAAAGGGACATGTGGATCTGCTCTTAACAGTCTTGCCAACACTCTGTTGTTTGAAATCTAAAATTAGATTGTTATTTCACTTTATTTAAAAATATGGAGCAACCTTGAGAAGCATTTCCTTTGGACTTCATTGGAACTTCATTGGCTCTTATTCTATTTCTTTGCCCAGTTCAAATAACTAATTATTGGCTAAAAGTTTTAATTCTGTTTTGATCCAAAATATTTTAAAAACATTCTTTCCCTATGACACTGTGTTTGCAGAATGTTCTGCTCCAAGTTCAAGAAGCTTAAAAAAGACGCCACTTTTGAGAACACATGGATTTTTTCGAGTGAAAATAAAACAAATTTTATGTAAAAATGAACAAATAAATATATATTTATTGAACTAGAAGCCACTCTGAAAACCTTTGCAGCTGAAGCATGAGATATAAATATGTTCAAGGAATATTTTTCTGATATTTCAAATACATTTTCTCTTAAGACTTTGTAACAGGATGTAATGTAGCCTTTACTACAGTCGCCAAATTCACTGAAACTGACAAATTCAGTGTCAAGTCAAACCTGTATATACTGCTCTTGGGAATCTGTTTAAAATGCTTAAAACAGTAAGTTTGTTTCTCATGAATTGTTATCTGAATAAAATGAAGCACCATTTTTCCTTTTGAAAAAATCTATATAATAATACTGAACAGATAGTCCTGGTTTAATTAAACACCAGCTTTGATATTAATCAAGTTCATTTTCATTCAGAGGAGGATCAAAAATGTTGAGATGGTGGCCACCATAATGTTATTTAAACCCCACCCCTTTTTATATGCATTGGCAGATGTAAAGAGGGATGGCGCTTCAGTTATTCTTTGAGTGAGTTCAGAAATGTGAAAAATAAATAAATCATGCAGTCACAACTGCTATCTTGGCTTTTTAATCTCCCCTTTCAAACAGCCCTGTTTTTCTTGATACTAGTCCAGTAAGATAAAATGTGCTATTGAATAATTTTAAACACAAATCTATAGTTAAAAGAACACCAGAAAATCTATATTCATTTTATAGCCATTCCCAAGAAGTTCCTCCTCACACAATTTGAAAATAGTTTCCAAAATAAGTATAGTTATCAAGGGCTAAAAAAGAATGACTAGCCAAAAATCACCTGGCTTCTGTTGCCATGGGAGGACTAGAATCTGGATCTTCCTGCACCTGGTCCAATACTTCAGCCACCACACTATGCCAATTCCCAGTTATACTTAGAATAATAATTCAGCAACCACCAGGATTTATTAATCTCTAGGTCCATCCTGAGCAAGATTAAATTTAGAGTCAATTCCATATAATTTAGTAAGCATCATCACATCACTTAGTAGGATAAATTCTAGATGGATCACTATGATTAAATTCAGCAATTAACATAAACACTGAAAAAGTTTAATTCACCAAATCAAAATACATTACCATATGGCAATGTGAGTAAATGAGAATGAACTAGGGATTTCAAACATATCTTTTTCATGCATTTATGAAAGACATTTTTTTTGACATGTGACTTTATCTTCTGAATTTAGTATTCAGAGACTAAATATATTCAATTAATGAAGGCTGAATTGCAATTCTTATTAACTTTCTCTACTTGTGAAAATTCCCTGAGGCATTTTAACAATCAGGTTGGTTGTTGGTTTGAAGCAGAATCAAATTCCTTAAAATTTAATTTAAAATAGAATCAAAGGAATTCCTTCTAATGAATAATATATTACATATAGGACATGGAATGACAGAGCCTGGCGGTGTAGGACAGGTAGGCAATCTTGGCTCTTTTACGACTCGTGGACTTCAACTCCCAGAATTCCTGAGCCAGCATGGCTCAGCTTGGAAACTCTCCCTTTCCCCTCAGAATGGCTGGCTCAAGAATTCTGGGAGTTGAAGTCCATAAGTCATAAAAGAGCCAAAGTTGCCTATCCCTGGTCTAGGACAACTCGTTATGGCCAACTTGCAGTGGAACAACTCGCCATAGATAATTCCATGTGGGATAACTCAACATTATAAAAGGTATTCGTCACTGTTTTTTCAACATTATTTCCATTTTTGTCAATGGAAAAAATGTATAAGAAACGGTGATGGATAACATTTATCATGTTGAATTGTCCCATGTGGAACTGTCCAGGGTGAGTTGGTCTATGTCGAGTTGGCCGTGGCAAGCTGTTTTGCATTGAGTTGGCTATGGTGAGATGGCCACAGCGAGACAGCCGCAAAATGGCCATGGCAAGATGGCTATAGTGAGTTGGCTGTCGTGAGTTGTCCCATTCCATGGAGATGGAATCAAAAAAGGAATCAGGCTAGAGCAGGGGTGTCAAACTCAATTTCACTGAGGGCCACATCAGCATTGCGGTTACTCTCGGGAGGCTGGGTGGGTGTGGCCACAATGGATATGGCCTACTGAGTGGACATGGATGGAGTAGGTGTGGCCAGCTCTACATCGTTCATGTCAAGAGTGCCTGTGGGGGCCTGGGCAAGAATGGGACAGATCTGAGGGTC